GTTACTCCTTTTGTGGCCTCTTCAGGAGTGCCAATTTTTCTTTGTGATTTTCTCTTACGAGGAGCGATATCTTTTGCACCGACTGGTCTGCTACGCTTCAGGCGTGTTTTAGATGCATTTGCTGCATTACTGACAGAAGGTCCCTCAGGGACAGTAATTCGTGCTATCACATTTGCAACTGGTATATGTGATTTTATCACTTTCTTTGTATCAGTAAATGCATCAGGTAATTGATTTGCAACATTTTGCAAGTGAATGATCATCTGAACTTCTCGTTCACATTGATTTGTGCGAGGATCAAAATGAGACAATTCCAGGGCATTCTAAGTAAGATCACGTTGCTGCTGTGCCTTTTCTCCCCCTAATAATGGCAAAACAGTCTCATCAAAATGACAGTCAGCAAATCGTGCTTTAAAAATATCACCTGTCAGGGTTTCAAGATATCTAATAAATAGATGGTGAATCAAAACCAACATAAATTCCAAGTCACCCATTTTAGCGCGTTGGGGTGGTGCAATTGGAACATATATAGCACAACCAAAAACTCGTATGCGGGAGATATTTGGTTGTTGACCAAAAAGCAAGTTGCAATGGTAAGTACTTATGATAAGCAGTTAGTCGTATACGAACAAATGATGCAGCATGTAATATGGCATGACCCCAGGCAGAAACAGGTAATTTTGTTCGCATAAACAAAGGACGACCAATTAACTGAAGTCTTTTAATAAAAGATTCAGCCATACCATTTTGAGTATAAGTGTGTGCAACAGGGTGTTCAACATTAATTCCAACTGATATGCAATAATCATCAAAAGTTTGAGAAGAAAATTCAGCGGCATTATCAAGACGGATTGTCTTAATTGGGTAATCAGGAAAGTGTGCCCGTAATTTGATGATTTGAACAAGAAGTTTAGCAAATGCAACATTACGAGTAGAAAACAGATAAACATGTGACCATCTTGTTGAGGCATCAATTAAGACCATAAAATAGCGAAATGGTCCACAGGGTGGATGAATTGGCCCACATATATCCCTGTGAATTCGTTGCAAAAATAGGGGAGACTGAACAATGACTTTTGAAGGGGATGGTCTGATAATCAACTTACCTTGTGAGCAGGCGATGCATAGATGATTATTTGGTAAGATGATTTTTTGATCCTTTAGTGGGTGACCATGTGAATTTTTAATAATTAGACGCATCATTGTACTTCCTGGGTAACTAAGTCGATCATGCCAAAGCATATAAAGTTTTAGGTCACAAGATTTTTTATGGATCACAACATTTGACTCAATTATTCTAATGGTTGTATAGTATAACCCAAAAGAGAAAACAAGGAGTTTTTCTAATATCAGCTTCTTGCCTGAGGTAATGGAAGTAATGTAGAGATATTCCACAATTCTTTCATTCGCAGTCTCAATATGATACCCATTACGACGCATGTTTTTAAAACTTAACAGATTTCTCCGAGATCTTGTAAAATATAAGACATCATTGATTTGTAATCTTGTTCCATGTGGTAAAATGATGTTGGCTCATCCAGAGCCTTCAATCAAGTCAGTGGGACCTGATATGGTACTGACACTGGCGTCTGACAGAATTAAGTGGGAAAAATATTTTGAATCTCGAAGGATTGTATGTGTTGTTCCACTATCTGCAAGACATATGTCTTCTCCATTTATATTAGAACTAGTCAAATCCATTCTTATTCATGCAAATTTCTTTATCAAAAAAGAAACTTTTATAACAAAATAAACTTTAATACAAACTAGAAGATAAAAACTTTAATACAAGGAAAATACAAGGAAAATAAAAACATAGTAGACAGAATATGAAAAGAAAATAAGATTAATTGGTGTAGACATTTTCATCACTAATCAGGAAGTTTATCCTTTCATCACGGTCCTTAAAAAAATCTGATACATCCAGATTTGTGATATCAACTGGCTCATCATGATCAAGAAAATTTATTTCCTTTTGTTTTCTCTTTTCTTTCATTGAAGCTTGGTAAAGTTCAGCCAGATGCTTAGGTGTACGACAAATACTTTGCCAATACCCTGTCATGCCACACCGATAACAAATATTATCGTGTGCCTTGGAAGGTTGAGCCACATCCTTCCCTTTTCCCTGTTTCATTTCATGATGATCTCTTCTTTGAGGATATGGTGCGGATCTTTAATTGCGAAAATGTGAGGATTGATATCCTTCACGATAATAAGAATGATTTCTACCACGACCATATTCATTATTGTGGTAGTTATTTTTGCCACGACCATATTCATTTCTACCACCACGTCTGCGTCCGCGTCCGCGTCCACGACCACGGGATGAGGCAACATATGTTTTAGGGATCGGTGTTGATCCAATTGGACGAGACTGGTGGTTTCTCAACAAAAGCTCATTATTTTGCTCTGTCACAAGCAAACATGATATCAGCTTTGAATATTTTTTAAATCTACGCTTTCGATATTGTTGTTGCAAGAGTACATTCGAGGCGTGAAATGTGGTGAATGTTTTTCTAGCAAAAATTCATTAGTAACAGTATCACCACATAATTTCAATGTAGAGCTGACTTTGAATAGAGCAGAGTTATATTCAGCCACAGTTTTAAAATCTTGCAACCTTAGTTGCAGCCAATCAGCCCTAGCCTTTGGGAGGATGACTGTTTTTTGATGATCATATCTTTCTTTCAAATTATTCCACAAACAAAGTGGATCTCTTTTAGTGAGGTATTCAGTTTTCAGTTCCTCACTAATATGGCGCCGGAGAAAAATCATGGCCTTTGCTTTATCTTGTAATGATACATCATTTTTTTCTTTGATTGTGTCTCCAAAGCCCATGGCATCCAAATGGATCGGAGCATCCAGAATTCAAGATAAATAATTTTTGCCAGAAATATCCAAGATCACGAATTCCAGCTTTGTCAAATTTGACATTTTCAGAATAACTAGATGTGACAACAATATAAAAATATAATTTAGCAAAGTATATAAAATAAAATAACATTAAATGAAATAGTAACATAATATAAATTATTTAAATAACAAAGATGGTAAATCCAGCCATAGTATATAAATTATTAAACAATAAAGGCGGTAAAACCAGTCATAAAACATTAAATAATAAAAGTGGTAAGACCGACCATAATTAGTGGATCAGTAAATAATAAATGTGGTAGGACCGACCATAGTGTTAGCACATATATCATTTAAGTAAACAAATTTATTTTATGAATAATAATCAACAATCAAAATTTTCTTACCCTTTGGAGTCAGAAATATTATTTTTTTCGATAAAGCAAACCAACCCAACAATCTATCAAAACTAATATCACAAAATAGATATATAGTTGAGATAGAAAGAGGAAAAGAAAGCCTTTTCTTCAAATCTCAGATGGATAGAGCGTCGTGCTAATAACATATAATAAATATATATGTATATATATAGTACTATTTAGGGAGAGAAAGACGTGAGGGCAAAGGAGCATATTCGGAGAGAGAGAGCAAAGAGCTTTTATTGATATAATTTTTGAAACCACCAATAGAGCAATAGTTACAATAGTATTTATAGGCACAAACAAAAGCTTTCAATGTAAGCTAAAAAGGTAGCCTTTCTCCACACGCCAATATATAAGGCTTACTTTGGAAGCCATTATTTACTTTATTGTGGATCCCACACACACACACACACACATATATATATAACAATATTAAAATTTAAGCAAAATTTTAGGTGTTAACATATAAAAAAAACTCAGTCAGAACATACACCACTCGACTCCAAAAGTAATCCCTACTTATAGCTTGTTGACAATACTTTGACCGCTTCATTATCAAATTGATTTACATATGCTCTCGATTTATATAATATAACCTTTAACATGCTAATCACTAAATTCTCCCCTCTGGAGTAATCAAGCGGCCCCAACTTTCTCTCCCACCTCTCTCTGACGGGCAGTTTCGTCTTCTTCCCTATGCCTCCCTGCTCCCTTTCATGGGAGTAAACAGATGAAGGCCGCCTTCTACGACTGTCATAAACTCAGCGTGTTTAAATAAGTGTGCTCCGTGGGTGTTTTTTATGCTGTTTTTTTGTTTTCTTCGATTAGATCTGTTCATGTTCAGTTTGTTTTCGGATCACATGGGCGAATCTGTTATTTTCTCCGACTAGATCTCTAGTATGGGTCGGTTTTGAGTTTTTCCCGCCTCGATTTAATCTTTTTCTCCTTGATTTGATCTTGTGCGGGGTTTCTTGGGTGTTGGAGCGCATTGTGATTGTAGTTTTGGAGCGGTTGCCGTGATGATGACCAGACCTTTCAATCTCTTCTGTTTGTTGCGTTCTCCCATGGTGGTTATGTTTGCAGAGTGTTGGACTCTATTTCCTCCACAAATTTGAAGCATGTTCTTCATTTATTTGTTTTACTTCAAGATTTGTATGTCTTTTTTTGCTTAGTTTTATACTCTGTACTGCCATCTTGGCTTTAGGCCTTTATGCCTTTGAATGACAAAATATATATATATATAACCTTTAACATTTTTTCATATTAGAGACGTGATGGTAATTATTTATTTTATTCTAATAAGAAATTTACACGTTCGTTTTTGTTCTTATAGGAATTTAAATCTTGATTTTTTATTTAAAAAATAGAAAAGAAATCATTAGATTAACATTTTAACTTGATGGTTAATAGAATGATATGTCGTAAGCATTTCACCAACTTTACTTAAAATTTCTAGTTTTGGGGCATTTGTTAAAATTGCATTGTATACTAGGAGGGTTTGCCAACCAATCTCTTAAATTCATTTTTAGGCCATACAATGATACCAACGGAGAAGAAAATAATCTCTAACAGTTGGCCAGTGTTGATGACATTGATGAGCTCATATGTTATCTTAAATTTAGTTTTAGGGACCGTTTTAGGAAAAATAATAAATAAATATTTTGGGCCATACAAATAAAAAATATTCTTAGAAATTAATAGAGAAGAAACAGTCTCACATTTAAGAAGGTAATAGAGGAATGACAACATTACTATCTTCAAATTACGAAGATGCTTTAACAAAAACATATTTCACACAAAGTTATTCCAGTACCTAGAGAACCAAAGTAGTCACTTCGACAATGAATTCACACAAACTTATTACAGTACCTAGAGAACCAAAGTAGTCACTTTGATCCTTTATTATTCAACAGCAACCCCTGAAATTTCAATGATCATTTCCTGCACACTAGACCATTTCCACCACCATTCCAACTAGTGCAGTCTACTGTGCCATATTCCATCGCCACTGAGCTCTCGTCGGCCACAACTTCTCCCGAAGAGAACACACAAGATCGACAGTCTGTAGAGAGAAGCGAGCTAGTTTTGTACTTGTCTTCCCCGCCAACCACTGGCATTGCAACACCTGGTTTTGCCGGATTCTCGAAATCAGGCTGGTAAGTCTTGCCAAGAACTCCTTCAACTCGAGGGGATAAGCCAGCAAACCTGAACTGCACTTCCAAATGGGCAAAACTGTCATCAAATGGTATCTGGTAATTGTGTATCTTGTCATCTTCTTCTGTCACTGGAACCACATTCGCAGATATCTCCACAATTCCTGGTATGGTGATTGTCACACTGTTCTTGTTTGAAGTCCTCTCCGCTTTAAGACCATTATCTGGTGAACTCCATTCAGAGGAATGGCCTTCTGGTACTATTATACCCTTCCCATCATAAGAGAAGTGCAAGTGATCAACGTCACTATCCCATTTTTCTGCCTTTGTGGCTTCCAGAGTGAAATTGTGAGTGCCAAACATGAGACCTAAGGCTTGGATCCATGTATAGTCCCGCATTCTGCCAGCAGGTCGAAGGCCAATGAAACGCGCATTGATTTGGAGATTGACGTCGGATATCAAGGCGAAGTGCTCATTGCTCTTTCCATGAAAGTAGAAAACAATGCCGTCTCCACCAATGAAACGGGGATCATAGCATGCAGCTCCAGGGCCATTACAGTTTGGTTTACGTGCTGTTAGATAAAAACACATATTAGTCCAGTTAGTATAATCTCTCATCTTCCAAAGGAAAAGTTGAGAGTTTGAGCTTTGTTAGGGTCAATATTATGAGTGCGTTGTGTTTGCTTAAACTTTGAAAAAAATATATATATTTGTACTTGCCCAGAAGATTAATATAATTGGAATTACGTTTCATTTTAGCATAAACATAACAATGATTCATGTGAAATAAGAAGTAAAAAGCCATAAGCAACATCAAGAAACAAAGAGAGTACGTAAAGAGAGGGAGAGAGAGAGAGAGATATATATATATATATATATATATATATATATATAAAATTCAAAAAATAGAGGTAGATTGGAAATGGAACTCTTACTCCTACACACAGCCTCGCATTTGGGAGAGTAACAATCAAGAAAGCAGCCTTTGGCATTAGGGTCTTTTGGTTGGACCTGTGGGCATTGAATTGGGCATTTTACATACTTGAGAAAGCATTTGCTCTTGCGGTTGTAGCACGTAACAGTTTGGGGTTTAACTACTTTTTTGGGCTGTGTTTTGGCCTGTGTTTCTGTAACCTGCAAGGAGGCGTACAAGAGCAGGAGGATCACTACGCATTGAATGCTTACTAGCTTCATTTTTCTTTTCTTTTTTTCTTTGAAGCCAAACAGCAGACTCTAAACAAGAAAGGCAAAATGTAAATGATATGAGAATTTAGCCACCCATCCAGCGGTTTATATAGGACTAACAATAAGAGTAGTTACCACAAGAATTCAAAACAAGCTCACTCAATCTGTGTAGCCTGCAACCAAGTGGAGATTTAACAAACCTTTTTATTTTTGTTGGGATTTGGCTAAATTTGGTTTGTGAAGACCGAAGACTTTTTTTAGCCAATAGTGTTAAGTTACCAAACTATTGCCTCGTTTTCCATTATAATATGGAGATTTCTTAACGGAGAAAAACACAAGTTTGGACTTCATCGAGATCAAGCGGAAATAAAAAAAAATAAGGGTAAATTGCACTGATAGTCCTTGAGATTTTGGTCAACGTCATTTAATGGATGGTTAATAATTTTTTTTACATTCACACCCCTCCAGACCTCTGTAACCATATAAAATTACCTTTTAACCCTTTAATTCGTCAACAATTCCTTTTAAATCATGAAATTTCAAATTTAACCTCCTAACTAAATTTAATGGACTAAACTAACCTCTTCATCTCTTATATATATATATATATATATATATATATATATATATATACTTATATCACCATAACCATCACTACAACATGAAAATAAAAAATTAAAATAGAAAATTGTTATTTTTTTAAACAGCTAGATAACTGTACACCACCACAACCACACGCAAACACCACAGAAGAAGAAAAAAAAAAAAAAATTGAAAATAGTCATGGCCAACCTATACTTATACGTCCCAGACACCACCAAAACCACCATCACCACAATCAGTGACGGAGCCAGTGTGTGCCCAGGGGAGCACATGCCCCTCCTGGCTTGGCCAGCCTAGCATAAAAAATGGCTAATTTTTTATTTATTTTAATATTTATAAAAAAAATTCTATATAATGCCCCCTTAAAATTTTTAATTTCTAAAATTATATCCTAAATTTTTATTTTCTCAACCTTTTACTCTTAAAATTCCTTTGATTTCCTTAAAAAATGTCAAATTTTCCTTCTCAATCAAAGTTTAATTGTTTCCTTTCAAAATTTTTATTTTTCTTTCCTTGTTTTTTTCCCCTACTTTTTTTTTTTTACAAGGCACGAAGGGTTAGAAGTTAAATTAGTATGTGTGTGCAATTTTTTTTCTTTTCTATTTATTTTAATTTAGCACTCTAATTTATGAAGTTAATGAGTTTAATTTTCATACATCACTTTCAAAATAAAAGATTTATAACTATATTCAATAAAAATATTAATTATTAAACAATATTTTAGTTCTTATATAATACTTATATTTCTTATACCATTCATTGATTCAGCATATTTGCAATAATTTTTTATATATTTGTCATGTTCGTTGAATTTTTGTTTTTTTTTTTTACACTGCGCCCTCCTGAATTGAAATCATGGCTCTGCCCCTGACCACAATAGAAAAAAAATAAATAAATATTTTGAAACACCTTGATAACCTAGACACCACGATAACCACCACCACCACACCCAAACAACATCATAACAACCACCACTTGAGTAGAAAAAAAATAAAAAAATTGCCATGGCCAGCCCAGACCCACCGCAATAGGTTAAAAAATATATATATAAAAAGAAAATAAAATAAAATAAATTTGTCCAACCCAGCCATCACCACAATAATAATAAATAAATAAAACAAACAGTGACGACTGTTTTTATCTCACTATTCCCACCAATTTTCGTCTCTCCTCTCACACCCATTTTCCTTCCCTTATGACTCAATCACAAATCCAACACCACCACACCGCAACATTTTTCCCCCAAATTTTGCGAATTAACTTGACCTAGCCATCATCTCCTCCATTGCCAGTTATGTTTCCTTAGCCTCTATCGGTCACCGGTAACTCCTCCACTGGAGAGAAGAATGACTAGGGGTGCAATTTACCCCAAAAAAAAAAAAAAAAATTTAATTAATAACATGGTAAGAAATAGGGGAATAAGAGAGATGTGGAAGGGAGAGAGGAAGTGTTGACAATTAGGTACTAAAATGAACAAAAAAAGAGAGTTTGAAATTATGGTAGAGAGAGAGAGAGAGTGAGAAAGACTTAATGATGAGCCTAGTTTCGTCAATTAAATGGTCTTATATTTTATAAATTAATTGAATTAAATAATTAAGGGCAAATATGATATTTAAAATCCGCATATGAGTGACATTCACTGAAATCTCAGAGTGTGTCAATGTGGTGTATCAATGCAATTTACCCCAAAAAAATAAAAATAAAAATTCAATGTTAGGCCTATAGAATCCATATGGGTCCCCATAAGTTGCATCCCAGCTAAGGATTGTACCAAGGATCCATTTTATTTAGCCAAGAATTACGGTTGTAGTGTTCGCCCAAACAATATAATTCTTATATTACCTTCCGAATATATATATATATGTATATTATTCTTATATTTGAAGAATCTTTTAGAATGAATTTTGCAAATATAATGGTTATACAGTAATGCCTTAAATGTAAAAGTGATATCACAACACGAAAAAAAATTAGAAAAATTCAAATTAAGGTTAAAATATTTCCAAAGTGAACTCTCAAAGGGATTTTTTATTTATTTTTGCAATTAGAAATATTGAGAACGAATTCAATATAACCAATAGAGATCGAAGAAATGATATCATGTAGAGTCCATACCAAAATACTACGGGTTCGTTTGAGTGCACGCTGGTTACATTAGCACTTTATGTAGTATTGTTAAGAAAAATAAGAAAAAGATGATAAGAAAAGTACTGTTGTAACAAGAGTCTTGAACTCTCATTAATAACTTTTGAATTTAAAAAATATATATATTTGTGAATTTTGATTATGAAAACAAGGTCCAAATGCCTTATATCATAGAGTCTCTAATAAAAAAAAGTTTATGAATTATGACATGATAATTTATGACTGTTATCAACATGAAGACCTCTTGAAAGTATTGCTTAAAAATAGAGAGAGAGATGATACAATTTTTTGAATTTAAATTTGAAGATGTAACGTGGTCACATACCTAAAAGGCTAAAACAGTTCACGGCACTCCTACAAAATGGGTGGACTCACTGAGATGGCTTCGTTGAGTGTGTGGAGTCTGGAAATTAGGGCTGCAATTTAGGCGGGTTAGCCCAGCCCAACCCAACCGAAGCCCTACTCGTAATTTTTTTAATTGGGTTTTAAATTCACAAATCGGGTTCATGTTCGAGTTGGGTTTTGTCAAAACCCAGGCATATTCGGGTTGGGCTCGGACTCAACCCGAATCCAACCCGAAACCCAATTTTTTTTTTTTTTTTCCTCTCCTTTCTCTCTCCTCTCTCTTCATTTTTTTTTCTCTCTCTCTCCGCCGCTTGAGAGTTGAGAGACAGCGGCGAGATCCACCGGTGCCAGGAACGCCTCCAGAGACGGCGACCTCCGCCGGAGAGATGAGAATATCACCAGATCCGTCAACACAAATCTTCCCACTTTTTGCAACTTGTAATTTGTCGACGAAGAGGAAATGAAATTCTTTTTTTCCAAACAGAGAGGGGGGTAAGCGTGAGAGTTGAGAGACAACAGCTGAAGCTTGCGCACGGCGAACCTGAACTGGAACAGCGGGCGATGGAAACTGAAAGATCTGGGTTTTGATTTTTTGAACAATCTGAAATGATATGCCGATATGGGTTTTAAACTTTTGATTCTTGCAGACAGATAGATAAAACTGAAATATATGGGTTTTGAACTTCTGATTCTTGTAGATTTTGTAATTTGCAGTTGGAGAGAGAGAGGGTTCAAAGAGAATGGAGATGGAGGCGACTGGGGAGGCTTATCAATAAATATATACGATTTTGTTTATTATAATATATTATAATAATCTATTTATATTATATTATCTAATATAAATATATACGATTTTGTTTATTATAATATATTATAATAATCTATTTATATTATATTATCTAATATATTATATTATATATATATATATATATATATATTATAAATTTTTGGAAAAAAAATTAAAAAACTCAACCCGTCAACCCGACCCAATCCGTCTGAAAATATTTGGTCCGGATTATGATCATAACCCATATTAAGTTTAATTCGGGTTGACCCAACCCAACCCGCTTCGGATTGAGGCTGGGTTGGATTGAACTAGCCCAAGTTCCAGCCCTACTGGAAATTCAGACACCAAATCATTTTTCCTCTCACAATGGGTTGGGCCTTATGTGGTGGACCGGTAAGGCCCAATGTCAGAGGGTCGGCCATGGCTTATTCGGTCCAACTTATATACACTAGCATTGTAACAGCGACCTTATTTACTGTACCTCGTGACGTGTCAATCTAATATTGGTCCAAGAAACGATTGTAGGAGACCTCAACAACAGCAATAACATACCGTATGTATTTTGGATCGCAAATTTGTAGCAGACAAATTAGACCATCAAATCTCGCATATTATTTGCATTCGATAGACCTTTCACTGATATTTCAATCCATTTCAGGAAACAGCAGGAATCGATTCTCTGATGCTTTGAAGTTACACTGTTTGAAATTTGATTAAGCTTATTTCTCTCATGATCTTAATTTTGTCTTCTTTTTTCCATCCTACGATCAGGTTTTTGTGCCTTTGTTTTGCGAGAAAATCGAGCAAAAAGAGAAGAAAAACAGATTTGAGGTTGACTTTGCTCCAGTGAATACGGAAAACTGATCTTTGATTTAGTCGCTTCTGTGATCAATCAGTTGAAATTTTAAGGTTTTTATTTTCTTTTCGCTATATTTTTTTCCAACCAGTTTCTCAGTAGCTAAATTATGGAGTTTTTAGCTTGATTTTATCTTCCTTGTGTACATCTTGACTGGAAATTCATGCTCTAATATGCTACCATATAGCGTCTTTCTAAACAATGAACTGTATATAAATATGTATGTATGTTGTATTTATGACTCTCCTGGAGAACTAGTTATGTTTTAGATCATATGTGTAATCTTGGATCTCTCACTTATTGAATAACTGTGTTAGTATTGCTGGAAAATTCGAAGCAAATCCTGTTCTGATATTTTAATTAACATTATTTTAGCCTGATGCATTACAATAATGATTCCTGGTCCTAAGTTTATGAACTGTGCAAAAGCTTAGAATGATAAAACCAATATGACAGTAGACTGGCGCTGTTATACCTTATGCCGTTTATTCTCATGCTTGGTGTGTTTTTTCTTGTACTTACAACTTTTTATTTTACTACTCTCCTCTCTCTATCTATTGTGCCTATTCCCACTGGCTCTGTTGCTTTTGGAGTTTAAATTGCCTTTACTTTGAATTGCATAAATTGAGATAGTCGCTTTTAAAATGAAATCTGGATAACCTGGCTAAAGTTTGATTGTCATCATATCTAGAATGTGCCACAATGAGTATTGATTTGAAATTTATACATAATTTTCTAAAAGGTTATTATTACTAGGCATTTTTTCTTGGAAGGAGAGAATATTCAGTGTTTTAATTTTTTTTGCTCTGTCAATTATCATTTTGATGTAATAATTGTGTATTTATGTTTGTTCTTAAATATTTATATGTGACCTGTGCATACACCTATATAGTTGTATAAGATTCGATAGAATAACATATTCATGCACAAAAGTTTTCAACATTCTGTTAGGTAATGCCCTTTTTTATCAATGACTCTTTTTCTTAAGAATTTTGACGTTAGATTGTGGAAGATATAGTCAACTATCAATTCTATTGTAGCAATTGTGTGGAGACTTTCTGTTGCACTTCATCACAACGTGAAATCTGTGAAAATGGTACCATGGGTTCTAATCAGAAAAAGATGAAGCTAGTTAACATAAACTATTTCCCTAGATCCTTGTTGAGTTTAAAGTTCCTGAACATTTTTAATGTACTCTGCAGATTGTTGAACCTCAGGATTCTAGTATCACTTTCTACGTGATGGATATAACTACAATGAATCGTGGGGAAATTACTCTGTTTGGATCTGCAGCTTGTGTGATGCTCACAATGCATTTTACAGTACAACTCCTGTCACAGCATCTCTTTTACTGGAAGAACCCAAAGGAGCAAAAGGCCATAATTATTATCATCCTTATGGCTCCCATTTATGCTGTTGACTCGTTTGTGGGTTTGTTAGATTTCCGGGGAAACAAAGCATTTTTCATGTTTTTGGACTCAATCAAGGAATGCTATGAGGCTTTGGTAAGTATTATCTATTAGTCATTATTTGAAGACTTACTCTGATGGTTCTATTCACATAAGCAATGCTAAACTTCCCTCTCTCTGCACATTTATTTGCAGGTGATTGCTAAGTTTTTAGCACTGATGTATAGTTACTTGAACATATCAATTAGCAAAAATATAGTGCCAGATGAAATCAAAGGAAGGGCAATTCACCATTCATTCCCAATGACTCTTTTCCAGGTGCAGAAGAAGTTGCTCTATTCAATTTCCTAATTTTATTTGAACTGGTTGAAAATTATCCAAAAGATATATATATATATTTTTTGTAAATAAAAAATAAAAGAGAAGGAAAGAGGGTCTGACAGTAAGGAATACTAAAGATCAGGAGATTCCTGCACCTTCCGTTGTTATGTAATTGATATCACTTGGGAACGGTTTAAAATTGAGTTTGTTGAATATTGGGAAAAATTCATTAAGTGCAATTTCTTCCTGGTGCTAAATATTCTACATAAAGCTGCTAGCCTGCTGTAATGAAACTTAGTTGAATATATAACAATTATCTCTCCCCTCATGGTTTTTTCTTTGTGTTTTGTTTCTCATTCCTCACTCTGTTTTTTGCTTCAACAGATTCCCCTTCTCTTTTTTCCCCTCTCACGACGTCTTTTTTCCTTCATCATATCCCTGTTCTTTTTCTTCCTCTCTGTTTCTTCCTCGTCTCTAAGACTCTTTTCGTTTTCTTTTCCTCTACTCTGTTTCCTCCATCTCTGCTTTGTTTTCCTGTAATTTTCTGGGGTTATTGATGGGTACTCCTGGTTCCAACTTGGCTGTTATGGAGTTGACTTGGCTGAGTCAGGGGCTTAATGTTCCATTATGGCACTGACTCAGGCAAACCGTCTCTGTATCAGCCAGGTCTACATGATTTGAATTCACTCCAATATATCAGTGTGACCTCGATGCGACGCTTGCTGATCCCGTTACCATTTGACTGATATGCTGCCACTCAACTGTCTTGAGAAACAAGCCTAGGGTCAGTGGGTTTGTCAATCTGGATGATGATTCATTAAATGTGTATATCTGACCCATTGTCGTTCTACAAACTGCAGCCTCATACTGTCCATCTAAACCAACATACGCTGAAGCTTCTCAAATACTGGACATGGCAATTTGTTGTTATTCGCCCGATATGCTCCATGTTGATGATAACATTACAAATTCTTGGAATGTATCCCAGTTGGGTCAGCTGGACATTCACCATTATTCTCAACATTTCAGTTTCATTGGCTCTGTATTCCTTGGTGGTCTTTTACCATGTGTTTGCAAAAGAATTGGAACCACACAAGCCACTTTCAAAATTCCTGTGCATCAAAGGGATAGTTTTTTTCTGCTTCTGGCAGGTAAGAGTTTTAGAATATTATGGGAAGTTATATAAGAGTTCGTTTTCTGCTGCTGCTTCATTTAACTTTTTTCTTGATGAGTGAAAGTTGCATGAGAGCATTTTGATAACTTGAAGATGAAAAAAACTTAAATTGACCTTCTCCAGGCAAAGGGAAGACAAACATATGTGCATGCATTTGTGTGAGTGTTTGATCATTTGAAATTCTTATTGGCCATCTTTTGGAAATGGCATGTAAGTTCCACAATGTTTTCGGAAGATCGTGTCCATGTATATATTTGTTTAATTTATTAGAAATGAAGAAGGAATACAAAGATTAGGGTCAAGAAAAGTATATGGCCCTCCACTAATGGTCCATTTGATTAAGAGAAATGAGAAGAAACAAATGGGAAAATTTGAAAGGTTGAGTAGATTTTCTATTGATTCGGTAGGAGGGAAAGAAAGAGAGGAAGGGGAGGCCTTTCCTCTTGGCTTACAATATTCTTTCCTCCTAAAAGAGAGAGACAAGGAGAAGGTCAGGACTCCTCTGCCTCGTTTATGTTTTTACCTCTAGAAATAAACCATTCCTTTAAAATGTAAGTGTATAATGGTAAAGATCATGAAATATGTTTTCCTTCATCATGTTCGTCCTATTAAACCAAACAAAATGAGGAAAAGACCCCTAATTTTCCTAAGGATGTTGTTTTCATATTTCCTATTTTCCCTTCCAACTTTCCACCCAAAATATAACTGCACATGTTCGTCCTATTAAACCAAACAAAATGAGGAAAAGACCCCTAATTTTCCTAAGGATGTTGTTTCCATATTTCCTATTTTCCCTTCCAACTTTCCACCCTGTAGAGAATTTATAATATCAAGCGTTCCTTGAAAGCTTCTAAGTAATTGTAACAAATTCCATGGACGGAAAGTCCTGCTACCCATTTGTTTTGCTATTAGCTCAGTGAATTATGTTTATCTTGAAACATAACAAGATGTTTTGTTGTTTCTTCAAATGCCATTAAACCATTTAATAACATTGGCATTATTGCTCGTCTTGCATTTTCCTCAGAATTCTAGTTGACTAGGTGAATTATCCTATAGATAAGGAAGCAAACCAATGCTTATGGACAAGGAAATTCAGTAGGCCCCAGAAGATTTTTCCTAAAGATAATATTGATTCTGTTCAAACCATTTTCATATGTCTAACTGATGTTGTAACCTATTTAAAGGTGGTTTAATGCAACTTCATCGCATAATTAAGTTGCTAATCACTTGCAATGTTTGATCATCATGCAAAAGTTTTAACTTCTACAGAGTTTGAAAATTCCCCACATATATACCCAACATTTTGAACTTTGGGTTTGGGTGACTTTAAGTTACGATATCCTGCATAACGGTCTATACTAGTTGATTTTCTTAACTTTTTTCTTTTTACTTTTCTCTCTTACCGTCTTTCTTTTATCTTTTCCCCTTTTCTCCTTTTGTTGTTCTTAGAAACAAAGAATTGTTTGCTTAAATCAGTTTTATTGAATGCAGGGTGTAGTTCTCGACATTCTAGTTGCAACGGGCATCATCAAATCTCATCATTTCTGGTTGGATGTTGAGCACATTCAGGAAGCTCTTCAGAATGTCTTGGTGTGTCTTGAGATGGTGGTCTTCTCAGTTCTCCAGCAGTATGCCTTTCATTTTGCTCCTTACAGTGGAGATGTTGAAACGAAAATGAAATACAAAAAGAAAGAATGATGTTATGGAAAGAATTTGCAGGTGATGAGCCCTATAACATACTTTAGGAATGCATTCTACAATCTCTTAAATGGTACATGCAAAGAAAATCAACTGATGAAATTGCTACTACTGTTCATTCTTCTGCTTGCTACTTGTATAATTTGGGTATCACAGCTGCCGCTAAATTTCATATTTCAACAGTGTGATTGATTTACAATTTAATAGTAATATTTTTGCTGGTAAATATTTTTATAATAGAATAAGAAACCTGGTCGCTAAGAAATCTAAAAACTAAGGAAATTAATTCCTTAGGCTTTGTTTGGTTAAGTAGAATCAACTAGAAAACATTCGAAAGTGAAATTTTTGTAACTTTTTTAGAGTTCGGATAGAATGAAAATGAAACGTTCTGGAAATTTTAAATTCTCGCAGCCCGTTATTTTCTCTAAAACGTTTCCTGCCCAAAACACTTGAATTCGAATTTCTATTTTTCATTTTTATTTTATATATTTACTGGGTTTCAAAGAATTACAAACCAGTAATAACTTTGGTAACTTGAATTCTATAACTTGAATTCTATAAATAGTACTGTAGTTTGTAAGGTGTCAGCTAATTGAAAACTATATCATTTTTTTAGATATATATTACTACTAATTAATTCTTTATTATTCTACTATTTATTTTATTATTTTACTATTTTTATAAATTAAGGACAATATAACATAAGGACATATATTTTTAGTAATTTTTATGCTATTCAATACAATTTTCTTGAATAAATTTTCACCTTAACCAAATGTATACTAGAAAATAAATTTTCTTTTTGTTCACTTTTCTTTTCATTTTCCATTTCTTTTCTTTTTTTCCTAGTTCTATTTAACCAAACAGAGCCAAAATTAAAAATAAAGAAACTAATTAAAATTAATCTTTTCCTAAAAATTATAAAAAAATAAAGATAAACTAAAAAACGTCCTACATCACCCAACCCAAATTGGCTATATATGTATATATATGTTATATTAGTTCTATGAAAGCTTTGCATGGTCACGAGAAGAAAAGCAGGAAACCAAACTATTGGATTCATCCAATTCAATTTTATGTATAAATGTTATTTTTATGGATTCACCGAAACTTTGTCTCTCTCGGAGGAGAAATTATTCATTATAACCCGTTGCAACAGGTGGCAATAAACACTCTACCAAAACACATGTTTTAATTTTTTGGTTGTTCGACGTAGTAATTTGCACAATGTTATTCGGTAGCTGTTGGGAATTCAAAGGAACAGTCATTACAGGAGAAATTATTAAATGATTGGTCCTCATCCCATTTGGTAAATCAATTCAATTCAGACTCTACAATAAAAGAAAATGATCTCACAAAAATATATTAATATATTATAGGGTAAAGTGCAATAAACTTCCTTAAACTATCAGCAAAAAATAAATCTCCTGAACTAAGAAGTGTTCCCGAACTATTTAAAAAGTGCAATTTAAGGACAAAATCAATATTCGCCATCACCAGAGGTCACCGCTAGATTACCAAATTACTTTTTTAGTAAAATGACCTCGTTTAATTGCAAAAAACCCTCTGAACTATTGTTCGTTTGCAAAAAAAAAAAAATCCCCTGTGATCGGGTAAGTACACTAATGATATGGTTTGCCCGACGCACCCAATATCTACTCGATGGCCTTAGTCTTCGTTAACTTTATCAAACTTGAAGTGGAGTCACTGTTCAAAAAGTGACTAACTTGTACTCATTTAGTTTTAAGCTTGTACTAAACTATAACTAGTATTAATTTTTCGGTTAGAAAAGGTATTGAGACCATTCATTTATCTTTTGTGGTCTCATTAGGATTTCAAACCCATGTACGGGCTTATGGCCATATAAAAATGTAACCGAATTTATTTTATCCCATGTGATGTATTAAACTCGTTTAACGTTTATATAAATGCATAGATGTCAAGTTGCGGTCCTATTCGATTAGATGAATATTTTTGGGACAGGTTCACTTTATTTTTAAGCTCGTAAATGAATCCGAGTATGTTCAAGGCCTTGAGAAACCAAAAACTGGCATTTTTCATGCTCCCATGGCCTGTCCGCCAGCTGGTGATATAAGCTAGCCGACTAACAGTGCATTTTTTAAACGGACAGAGAGTTGGGATTTCAAGATTGTCGTTTCGGCCGACCAAAACAGCCCAGTCACCTGTTTTAAAGACCTATCTTCATTTGACCTTATCTCCTTTATTTTAATGGCAAATTGGGTCAAACCTGAATTCAATTTCATAGATTTTAAGTTCGTTTTCCAATTGGACCAGTCTCATCCATAGAACCCAATTGTAGAAGAAGTTATGACGGTTTTAATAAGGATTACTTCGAGAGTCTTCTAGACTCGGATGACCCTTTTGCCCTATGTTTCCTTGGGTTCGGGTAAGGACCCGAATAATGATTTGGACCCCTGGATTCGGGTCATTACACACTTCAACAAATCTTAAAATTATGAATTACCATTGCTATTCACTCATAGTAATTCCCACACTATATAAGTTTTCCACTCAAAAAATTCATCTTCAACCCAACCTGAGTACTCATCTCAACCCCCTACTCTCATTTCCATTACCCACCTCATCCCCAAAACCCACCTCCTTTCCAATACCCATCTCATCTCCAATAAATAACCATGTCAAACCCAACATTCTAAATCCCAATATAATTCAAAGAAATTTAAGTTCTATTAGTCCACGGAAAAGGTGTAGCGTTATGTAAAGCGTGGATTCATGTTGGGAAGATCCAATAACATGTACCGATATGAAAAGACAATTTTAAAATAAATATTTAAAAATATATTTTAAAAAGACAAACAAAAATTGAAAAAATAAAAGAAGAAAAACTCATTTAACTTTTTTTAACAAATAAGTTAAAAAATAATAAAGTTAATAATGAGATAGCGAGCTGCACGACAAGGTACATGACTGTTCAAATGAAGTAAATACCCATATCAGCACATTTTATCAAATAATACCTACGTGACTATGCAAGAAAACAATTTGCACACCTTATAAACATTGGTAGAAATGTAATAGATGATAGTGATTAATGAGTTAGGTGTTGTTTGGTAAAACTTAAAATTTTGAGCTCAATAAACATTAAGAAATTTTAAGTGAAAATTACAAAATAATTTTTTTTTTTATATCATTTTGAATTTTTAGGATACAACATTTAATATTTAGTGATAAGTGATATTTATGCCAAAGTTTAGGTGGTACTTACGATTTTTTAGTAATATTCAAATTACATTATCAAATGCATTTAATTTGATGCACTTGATACATGCTTTGTTTGTTTATAACATCCATGCCTTGGTATTGTTACAATGGACATTTATATCATTATGTCTATTGTTTAAATTTTTATCTTTGTAATTATAAATAACATAAAGGGCAAAGTACAAAAAAAATCCCACAACTTGTAGCATTTTTCAATAAACCCCCCTCGTTTAATTTTTTACCAAAGAACCCTCCTCGAATTGTAGTTATTTCCAATAAATTCTCTTGTCCAATTTTTTACCAAAGAACCCCCCTCAACTATCTAAGGGAAGGTAAAAGAGCTGATATTTAGACCAACATGCTCTTTTATTTAAATCTTAATTTTTTCGAATTTCAAAAATTCATATCTCACAAACCGCACATTCAAATATTGCAAATAATATATGCACAGAAAGCTTATAAAACAAGGATTCCAGAAATATAAGATTTATTTAACAAAACTTCATAACCAAAGAGAAATAGAAAATCTAAAAATCTACTTCAATAATCTTATTTTATTTATTTTTTTACAAAATAGTCGGATTATTTACAAGAAAATTTTTAGAATTCTTCATTTTCATATGGAGCATAATATATAAAAAAAATTTGCCCCAATAGAGACCAAATATTCATTTTTATTTATTTTTAAATGGTGAGTCTATAAAAGAATGAAAATACTTTGACGCAAAATATGATATCATGAAATCGATTTCTGCTGGAGCTAAAAAAAAATTTCTATATTCGGCTCCATATGTAAATGAATAATTCTGAAAATTTTCTTACAAATATCTCGATGATTTTATTTTTTATAAATAAAATAAGATTATTAGAGTAGATTTTTAGATTGCCTATTTCTTTCTGGTTACGAAGGTTTGTTGTACAAATCTTATATTTCTGGAATCCTTATTTCATAAGCTTTCCGTACATATGTTATTTACAATTTTAAAATGTACAATTTGTGAGAAATAAATTTTTTAAATTTAGGAGAATTAAGATTTAAATAAAATGGCATTATGGTCCAAATATCAACTCTTTTACCCCCTCAAGATAGTTGAGGATTTTTTTTTTATAAAAAATTAGACAATGGGGAAATATTGGAAAAAGACTATAAGTCGAGGGGGGTTCTTTGGTAAAAAAAATAGACGAGGGGGTTTACTGAAAAATGTTACAAGTCAAGGGGAGTTTTTTGTATTTTGCCCTAACATAAAATATTAACTTGACATTTTTAATTGGGTTAAGTACAAAAAAAAAAAAAGTCCACATAACTCCTTATATTATTCATCTTTTGAGCAATTTACCCCCTATTAAATAGATTCATTGAAAAGAGCTGTTGGTGACGTCGTTTAAAAAAAAAAAATTCTCAAATTGCTATTTTGTGTGTGACAAGAATGTCTCTACTAATTTTGTATATATTTGAACACTAAATGGGTTTGTTTGGAGGTGCTTCATGACCCGTCTAAGGAAAACTCTTTGTGTGTCGCCATAGTCTATTTCTTTAAAATATATATATTTTCTCTCTATAATATCTTACCACCACGGATATTCTCTCTCTAATTTTTTTTCTCTCTAAAATATCTTTTTGTGGCCGTCGATATTATCTCTCTTTCTATATATTTTTTTTCTCTCAAAATTTTTTTTGTCGCTACCAATATTATCTCCTTTCTAAATGATAGATGTATATTTTCTTGTAAATGAATTAGCCGCCCTTAATTATATATTTATATAATAATAATAATTAAAATAATGAATTTGCTTTAGCACAAATTGTTATCGGATGAACTTAGTATTTCTATCAAAATTTAAATTTTGATTAGTTACTCTTCAGTTAGAAACAAACTCAAGCAACACATTTTTTAAAAAAATGTTATTTTATTTTATTTTACTTTATTAATATCGAAATTTTTATCATATCTTGTTCTTTAAAATAAATAGGCACAAGCTTTTAATATCACGCGAGCCAAACTTTTTGAGGTTTACCATTAGCTACTAGTTGGTTTGCAATTAACTTTTTTAATTTTTTCCCCTAATTAGTTTACCATTAACTTTTCAATCACAATTTCTCATAAATCATTAATAAGCGGGATAAAATGCAGTTAAAAAAATTTGTTATTGATTGGTGAGATTGACGTGTAGACCTGTAGTTAGTGACGTTGGTCTATAAATTTTTTGTTTTTAGCAACTATAGATTTATATATATATATATATATATATATATATATATATATATATATTCTTGAAAATATTAAAAGGACAATGGTTAAATTTGGTAAAAAATAATTAGACACCTACATTTCAATTTTATTTTAAATATTGGGACACTGATTTATAATCCTTATACTGTATGTTATGAATTTAGTAATTTTACCACTAAAATTATGATTTGTTCTTAAGAGGGTTTTTTGAGTAATTGCACATATTGCATACTATGAGGGGTTTTTTGCACTTAATCTTTGTTAATTTATAGTTTGGGTGACAAAGCCAGGGCCGGCCCTGGCCCAAGGCGGTCGCCTTGGGCCTCAAATTTTACAGGGCCTAAAAAAAAAATTAGGACAAGTCTTGGGACAACTCTTGGTCGCCTTGGGCCTCAAATTTTAGAGGCTTCAAATTTTGAGGCCCATAGGGGATGATGGAAAAAAAAAATTAAAAAATTAAAGTTAGGGCAAGTTTCAGACGACACAATCTGCTTCGACACTCCGCAGGGAGCAGCCTCCGCTATCGCCTCAGGTGACAAGGTATGTTCATCCTCTCTCTCTATTCTCTCTCCTTCTGCATGAATCGATCTTTTATATATGTTTCTTTCTTTCGTTCATCTCATCATTTGATTTGTTCTAACTTTGGTTCGTTTGATTCGGGCCTTACCTTTGTTCGTGTGTTACTCTGTGTGATGGGTATCAAAATCTGAATGAATATATTATGGTTCTCTTAGTATTTTAATAAATGTGTGCCTTTCTACATGTGTCTTTCATGGCGATCGAGTCCATAATCTATGGCAGGTACTTTTTTTTTTCCCTCTCCCTAAGTCCACTCCAATCTCAAAACAGCAGCAACCATACCCCTTTTCCTCATAATTTGTTGCATTTTCACATTCAATCCCACGAAAATTAAGGATCCCTTTTAGTGGGTTGAGGTAATAATTAACTTTTTCGATCTCTAAATTATGCTCATACTTAAAAGTGCCAAATTAAGGGTTTTTTTTTTTAAATTTTTATATGAAGATACATACCACCATTATTGATGTTATATGAAGTTGGCTCAGCTAGAACTACAGTTAATAATACTGTCAAAGCAATTGCCATCAGAATGTACAAACACATGGAAATCAAGAGCAGGCTTTTAACAAAACAAAAGTTAATGGTTTTTTTCTATTAATTTGCACAGGTCTTCTGTAGCAATGATCAATCAATCACTGCGGGTAATTGGCTCCCAAAAAATACACACACAAAGTGTAGTGTAGTTAATATAAAGAGTGAAAGACAAAACTATATATGATAGTGGATGCCACATATAACCTAAAAGTCCCACTACTTCTTCAGTACTACAAGTTCAGCCTCTTATATGTATATAGTCACCTCATCTCCACATATTTTTGTCATCTGTAATCATCAAACTTTAGTAGCTATATAAACAATGAATGTAAAAGAAGCTGAAGTTTTCTGTTCTCTGATAAACTGTTCTCTTCATTTTTTATTTTGTGCTTGTGAAAATTTCGCACTCTTTAATTGATAAATATATTTTTATTAGTTAGCTGTCTTATGCACACTGCACATGCACACAATTATTTATTGGTGATGACAGATTTATAGTTATTAGTTAGTTGTCTTATGCAAACTGCACAGACGCACAATTATTTATTGGTGGTGATAAAAATTTATAGTTATTAGTTAGTTGTCTTAAGCACACTGCACAGACGCACAATTATTTATTGGTGGTGATAGATTTATATTTATTAGTTAGTTGTCTTATGCACACTGTACAGGCGCACAATTATTTGTTGGTGGTGATAAATTTATAGTTATTAGTTAGTTGTCTTATGCGCAATGCGTACGCGCACAATTATATTAGCTATAGAATTTGAAAACATCGTGTTAAAATTTCACACTCTTATAATTTTTTTTTGCGTGTGTGAAACTTAAGGGCCTTACATTTGAAAGTTCGCCTAGGGCCTTTCAAAATATTTGGAATCTTAGGGCCAGCCCTGGACAAAGCAATCATCTTCATACACAACAATTTTCTTTCAATAGAAAAAAAATATTTACGTGATTTTTTTTTAAAAAAAAATTTCTTTCTTTTTCTAACATTGAAACATTTACGTTAAAAAGGAAATATGTGTTCTATTTTGATTTTTTATTTTCAGTAACACTGGCTATGTTTGGTACGGTGGGAATAAAAAGAAATGATAACATTAGTTATGAGGGAAAAGAAAGGAAAGGGAAGAGAAGGATAATTTCAACCTGTTTAGTTGATTAATGAAGGAAAAGAAATGAAAGGATAATAATCATGTTTGGAAAAAGAAAAGAAAGGAAAGTATTTTAATAAATTTACTATTATACTCTTTTATATTTTAAAAAATAAATTTATAGATTTAAGTATATAATTTATAGGCCCATGGATGATAGGCCACCAGGAAAAAAAATATATTTTTAGGGCAAATCATTTCAGCCTCCCCAGTCGCCTCCATCTCTATTCTCGTTCTCATTGAACTTGTTCCCTCTCTGTCTCTGCAACTGCAAACTACAAAATCTACAAGAATCAGAAGATCAAAACCCATATATTTCAATTTATGTATTTGTTTGCAAGAATCAAAAGTTGAAAACCTATTACCTATATCCAAACCCATATCGGCATATCATTTCAGATTGTTCAAAAAATCAAAACCCATATCTTTCAGTTTCCATCGCCCGCTGTTCCAGTTTGGGTTTGCCGTTCGCAAGCTTCAGCCGCTGGCCCGCTGTCTCTCAACTCTCAAGCTTGCTCCCCTCTCTATCTGCAACTGCTAACTTGTTTGTATGGGTTTTGTTTTAAATTTTTTCTAAATCAACTAATCAAGGTCTGTAATTCTTGTTTTGCAAACCAAAATCAAGTTTTGTGTAAGGGTAAATTTGGCATCAGAAATAATACATCAAGCTTCTCCTTCCATTTCCTCCCATTTTTGGGAGGATAAGAAAGTTACTGTTTAAGCTTCATGTTATCCTTCCAAAACCATCCCTTCCCTTCCCTTCCCTTCCCTTCCAACCATTTATGCCAAATACAATTTTTTAATCACCCTCCATCACCTTTCCTTTCCTTTCCTCCCTTTTCCATTGAACCAAACTGACCCTGAGATTCAAGACCAAAACCCTCGCACCAAGAAAAAGTTGGTAGATCCGTGTGTCTTTTGCCCTTGCTTTCTTTCTACCAAAACTCTTATGTCTTTATACGCCATATTAGGGTTTTTATAAAACTTTGCTTGGTTCAAAATTTTAAGTACTTAGAACTTAAAATCTGAAATCTGTACAAAAATGTGTTTGGTTGAGTGTTCATTGCAATAAAAATTTCTTTAAGAAATGGTTTAGGATTGACTTGTCAATTAACCCGATTTTTCGTATGTTCAACTTCTGAACTTGTTTTCTTACAAACACAAATACAATGATTCATTCGCATTTTTGGATACAACTTGTGTATACCTGAAAATACAGTTACTCCTTAACTTTTTACCCTAATTACTCGTGAATAATTAGGGTTTTTAAACAATGATGGACGTGGAACCCCATATCGTGTTGAAATTCACACGGATGCTCTATTCCTAGCTTGTTACATCACCTTCAAAAAATCTGATAGCTTGGCCTCTCACCTTTTATTGATTTATTATTATACTTTGAAAATTAAATTGCTACTTACTTTGTTTGTGATTTGATAAACTCTGTAATTTATGTTTAATTTCCTGTTATTTTTTCAGTTCTGCTGTCTGATGGAGGAGGCATTGGTGACCATCTTGAGGTTGTGATGAAAAATAAAGTGGTGGAGATGGTGGAAAAAGCCTTTGTGAAATTGAGAGTTGATTTAGACACCAATGGGGAAGAGAAGACTTTGGATTTTGATGAATACTGATTGTGCCGTACACTTGTTGGATTGGAGGAAATCAAGAGAGAGAAGGATCCTGCTAAGAAGTTTTTGTTTCCTGGTAAGTGCTGCTTTTATTCTCCTCACAATGCAAAGCTTTCGTATGTAGAAGTAATATGAACATAACACACACATATAGTCAATGTGGAAAAGAAAAAAAATAAAGCCCGCTTGTTGAATTGGGGATGCCCTCTTTGTTGTTAAAAAAAAAAAAACATATATATAGTCAACGTGGATTGGGTTTTTACTGGAGAAATATACATGTTGGAAGAAGCGCAGAAAATGTTTTTTTTTTTGGGATTTTCAAGTGCAGAAAATGTTGGTTTCATGTATATAGGAGGTAGAAGGTGGTGCGAATGGGATGGAGGACTCAACCCCACTCTTTGGGGTGGCTCAACAACATCTTGGCACCCTTGTAACCGAGCTCATGCGAATGATTGACAAAATTTTTAAGCAAAACCTGACTGTTACTCCAATTTTAATTGCAGAGGTATATATGCATCATCTTGTGATGTATGTTTGATATCTAATTCTTAATTTGATGACATATTTCAATTATTCGATGACGGGACAATGCAATGCAGGTAGCAAGTACTCTGACTGAGATTCCTGCTTCATGGCTCCTTCATTTTTCAGAGCCGCCACTTCAGGGCCTTGAACCAAGACTCACTAAAGGGGTGATGCTGATTGGACAAGAACATGTTCCATTTGTTATTAGCAATGCATTGTCAAGGCATAGAGTTGCTTCTCAATCTTGCACAATTGGGTCATTTATTTTTTTAAATGGCTTTGTGCAAGGATGGACAGAGACCGCCAAAGCTCTTTCCGAGCAACTCTTTGACTTGACAAAGAAAGTTACTCAGACTCACAATCTGTATCATGCCTCTTTGGTTTTTCCTCCAGGTTATAATCTGTCTGGATGGTCTCTTTCATTTTTTTTCTCAGTATACAATATAAGGGTCTAATTGTTTTGTTTTATGTTGGATTCTTCAGTTCATCTATTCTGACAGAAGGACTGCTCACAGAAGCTGTGAAGAGTGGGCCTTACACCGTAGTGTTGTTTGACAATGTTTATAGGTCTCATCCTTCTGTTACTGATGCTCTGATTGAGATCATTAGCCATGGCAGAGTATCAAATGGCCAAGGAAACACCACTGACTTCACCAAAACATTGATTATCATGACATCAAATGTTATGGATGGTAAGGTCCAATGGTGGCACTGCCAATGTGTACAGATGGTTCGAGAAATCCCGCTGAAAGACTTATCTTCTGGTGCATTGCAACAAGAGCATCAATGCACCTATCTAGATCTTCTGAGGGAGGTAAGTTGTTGCATAAAGAAGGAGAGGATGTGTACATCTCTTCAAGAAGCATATATGGGGTGTCGGTTTATTTATTTATTTTTTGGTGTGTTTTTATGTTTTTCAATGCATTAGTTCAAATTTACTTTTTGTGCATTAGTTTATAGCCAAACTATTGCAATGCTGATATCTTTGTTCCCTGTAACTTACAGGTTAGAAAACATTTCAAACAGGATGACGTGATTCTTTTTAAGAAATTTTCTTTTGAGCACTATATGGCTGCTACGAGTCTCCAGCTAAGGGAAATAGACTGCTTCATGACGGAGAAAAGGCTGATTTTATACACATCTGACGCTGCACTCCATTGTATTCTGAGCAAGATAAAACTTTATCAAGTAAGTTTCTATTCTCCATTCTAGTGTCCTAGGCGCAGAGGAATCGCTGTTTTTTTTTTTTTTTTTCTGTGTGTGTGTGTGAGTGTTGTTATCTTAATCTTTTTGGCTGCCCGACCAACTGCTCCATATATTGCATGATAAAAGATATTTTTTTAATAAATTTTTAGTAATTTATTTTTTATTTTATTTATTTTGTAACTAATTTTTGGTCCGTGATCTAATAGCAGTCCTTTTTGGTATCTTCCTTTGCCTAACTCTTCTAATTATATCGTAGTAAGAAGGTAATTCACTGACACAGCAGCCTATTTGAGACCAGGCGAGTGTGGGATAGGAGACACTTTATATTATATTAGTAGGCTACCATTTGAGAAACTAACAACCAATAGAGCGAGCGTTACGAGCGGAAGCTCGCTCTGAGCCGGTACCCGATACCCGATACCCTAAGATCCTATCCCAACTTTCATTGAAGTAAGCCAACTCACGTTTGAGTTCTTTCTTTATTCTTTTAAGTCTGAAAGCATATCAAGAAACCCCCACCCAATATGATCTTTTGACAGATTAATTACAAATCTTATTTGAATTTTAAAATTTAAATTAGGCATAGTTTTTCCTCGAGCTTGACCAATTATTAAAAAGAAAGATGAAAGTTTTTTTAGTCGGCAAAAGTTTGGTTTTGTAATTTTTGTATGTATTTTGTTACATGTAATGAAAATTATGAAATATAGAAAGAAGAAAATAGACAGAAACAAAAATGGAAGTTGGAAGTTATACCACATGAAAGTCATCTGAACTTTCTCCCATTAGTTCACACATGCTAAACTTCTTGGTGATCTCAAGTGACCTGTATATTTGTCAAATTTTGTTCTCAATTCCGAACTCTCTCCATTTAGACAACGTAGGCTAGAAAAAGAATCAATTGTGATACATGAATTTGAGTAAAATTAGACTTTGGTTTTAAGGAAATCCTTGTATGCATGACTTCATTTAATTTCAGTTGTGCTGATTAACAGCGCTATAAACTGTCAGAGTACAAGTTAATAGTACGAGGCTGGAGACATGTTAATTGTGCTTGACATGCACTTTGTCTTTTGTGGTTTTTAAGCTTATGGATTTATATTAATTGCTTGTCTTGTTCTTTTAGAGGGGTGAATATGCTTTGAGGATTTGGCTAGAGGGGAATTTGCTCGCTTCGTTATTTGATATGCTTGCAGAAAATGACATAGATGATATGTCCACGTTTTACACTGATGCGCTGGTGGGACAAAAGGAGTTGTCTTATAGATTGGAGAAAGGTGGCTATCAAACGAAAAATCTGTTCATGAAGCTGTACAAAGAATCTTTAAGGGGATTAAGAGCAATGTATTTGAAAGAGAAAGAACGAGTCAACAAGATCTACTTGTTAAGAAGAAATTTGTTTGAACTGATGAATTTACCAGATGCGGAGGCTAGAGCAGATTTGGAAGAATCGCAAAAAATGTTGGTTTCATGTTTACAGGAGGTGGAAGGTGTGAATGGGATGGACTCGACCCCACTGTCTGGGGTGGCTCAACATCTTTCTACCCTTGTAAGCTCATTCTAATGATTCATGAAAATTTTAAGCAAAACCTGACTGTTACTCCAATTCTAATTGTAGAGGTATGTTTTCTTAATGTATTCTTCACTCTCATTTAACTTGTGATGTTTGATATCTAAATCTGAATACAAAGTCTGGTGCTTTGATGACATATATCAATTATTCAATGATGGGCAATGCAGGTAGCAAGTCCTCTGACTGGGATTTCTGCTTCATGGCTTCACCATTTTCCGGAGCCGCCACTTCAGGGCCTTGAACCAAGGCTCGCTAAAGGGCTGATAAAGATTGGACACAAACATGTTCCATTAGTTATTAGCAATGCATTGTCAAAGCGTAGAGTTGTTTCTCAATCTCACCCAATCGGATCATTTCTATTTTTTAATGGTCGTGTGCCGGGATGGACAGAGATTGCCAAAGCTCTTGCCAAGCAACTTTATGGCGACAAAGAATTTTTGATAGTATTTGACTTGTCAGAATTTTGCTCCAACTCTCATTTTCATCTAAGGTGGACACCTAGAAAAAGCAACGTGGTTGCTCATCTTGTAGGCCAGTTGGCTTTGTCATCACGTTCTGGATACTCAGACTCACAATCTGTCTCACACCTCGTTGGTTTTCCCACCAGGTAATAATCTGTCTCGATGGTCTCTGGCGATTGTTTTTGCTCAGTATTCTATATAAGGGGCTAATTGTTTTGCTTTATGTCGGATTTTTCAGTTCCTGTTATCATGAAAACTGTTGCATAGAAGGACTGCTCACAGAAGCTGTGAAGAGCAGGCCTTTCACCGTGTTGTTGTTTCGCAATGGTGTCATTGTTAGTATGATTGACATAAATTTCTTGTGTGTGTTGAACCATTTGTTCATTAACTGACACCTCCACACAAGTGGTTCCATCCTTTGAAGCCACAAACATCCTATTTCTTTCATCGTCGCCCACGGCAGTCCGTATATGTAAACCCTCCACACTCCTCGTTATGTAGTAATTCAGTCCCTGAGCGTACCAGTCTTCTATTCTTTCCTAGCAGGCAAAAATACCCCAATCTCATTCTTCCACGGATAGATTTCATAAATTCGGTACTGATTTTCTTCCAAAAGGACTAGCTGTAAACTTGGAGATATACCACCCACCATTTTGAAGTGCCTAAGTTCTTCTATATTAGTAGCAGTGCTTAAGGTAAATCTCGAATGATCTTGCCAACCATACATAAGAATTAACCCACTACATAGTCTGTTTACCCAACAAAGAACGTCATTACTAAAACAGAACCCCTGAGGTTGATGACCTTCATAAACCACGTTAACGGGCCAATCTTCCTCCAAATAATTTGTTGTATGGTGACACACATAATATATGGTAGCTGCGAACTGAATAATTAACACACTTGCATTATCATCGTTCATGATAAAGCAGCTAAGTGTCTCGATAGGTTCGCATACATCCGAAGGCAGATACCAAGGCAAGCAGCTGGGTGAACTGACCAATTCCATCATAAAGCAATGCCCTTAAACCTGAAACCAAAAGGACCCACCCCCCTCCACTCGAGTGTCCGACAATTTCATACGTACTCAAATCGACGGGAACTCTTTTGTTATTCAAAGTATGAACAAAAAAAACTGTGGAATGATGCATATAAGGATTGCTAGAGAATAAAAAAAAACCTCCATTACAGACCTTTGGTAGGGTGTGAAAGGTTTATCTCGAATCCTCCTGGCAATGAGAACATATCACAAAGCAAATTATTGAATTTTGCTATTGACTTTAGGAAAGAAATATTATGCAGGGTCAAGGAAGACAAGCACGAGAATGACAATTAAAGGAAATGAAATAAAACAGAATTGTTACCTTAAAAAATTCATGGCTGCACCATTTTTCGGTGCCACCACTTCAGGGCCTTGAACCAAGGCTTGCTAAAGGGCTAATAAAGATTGGACACAAATGTGTTCCATTAGTTATTAGCAATGCATTGTCGAGGCATAGAGTTGTTTCTCAATCTCGCCCAATCAGATCATTTCTATTTTTTAATGGTCGTGTGCCGGGATGGACAGAGATTGCCAAAGCTCTTACCGAGCAACTTTATGACGACAAAGAATTTTTGATAGTATTTGACTTGTCAGAATTTTGCTCCAACTCTCATTTTCATCTAAGGTGGACACCTAGAAAAAGCAACGTGGTTGCCATCTCGTAGGCCAGTTGGCTTTGTCATCGCGTTCTGGATACTCAGACTCACAATCTGTCTTACACCTCGTTGGTTTTCCCACCAGGTAATAATCTGTCTCGATGGTCTCTGGTGATTGTTTTTGCTCAGTATTCTATATAAGGGGCTAATTGTTTTGCTTTATGTCAGATTTTTCAGTTCCTGTTATCATGAAAACTGTTGCACAGAAGGACTGCTCACAGAAGCTGTGAAGAGCAGGCCTTTCACTGTGTTGTTGTTTCGCAATGTTGATAAGGCTTATTCTTTTGTTATTGATGTTCTGATTGAGATCATTAGCCATGGCAGAGTATCAAATGGCCAAGGAAGCACCACTGACTTCACCAAAATGCCGATTATCATGACATCAAATGTTTGGAAATGCAAATGTATATGGTTGAAGAAAACCAGCTGAAAGGCTTATCTCCTGACACATTGCAACAAGATCATCAATGCACCTATCTTAACTTTCTGAGGAAGGTAAGTTGTTGTATACATAAGGAGAAGATGTGTACATCTATTGGTTTCAGGAAGCACATATGGGTGGTTGGTTTTTTTAGTGTTCTTTTAATCATTTTGTAATGCATCAGGTCAAATTTCTTTTTTGTGCATTAGTTTTTAACCAAACTATTCCAGTGCTTATACCTGGAAATGAGTAAAATTTCACCCATTAGTTTAGGACATTATTACACATGCTAAACTTCTTCGTGATCTCTAGTGACCTGTATATTTGTTAAATTTTGTTATCAATTCCGAACTTTCTATATTTAGAGAAAGTAGGGTGGAAATAGAATCAATTATGATAGCCAAATTTTAAGGGCTCACATTAAAAAGGCCCTTAAACTTAAAGGTAAGACAGCTTTTCTTATAGGGTAAGATGAGCTTTTCTTTTCATGGAAAATGAATCAATTATGATACGTGAATTTGAGTAACATTAGACTTAGGTTTGAAGGAAATCCTTGTATGTGTTACTTCATTTAATTTCAGCTGTGTTGCATAACATTTTTTTTTTTTTTTTTTCCCTAGTTGATACTCACACACACTTGTCTCTTCTGAGACTTGAACCCCTGACCTCTCTTTGGGAAATAAGAGGCTGATACCGCTAGGCCACTGGCCCGTTGGTGTGTTGCATAACATTGTTATAAACTGTTAGAGTACAAGTTAATAATACGAGGCTGGAGACATGTTAATTATGCTTGACATGCGCTCTGTCTTTTGAGGTGTTTAAGTTCATTGACTTGCATCATTTGCTTGTCTTGTTCTCTTAGATGGGTGAATATGCTATGAAGATTTGGCTAGAGGAGAAGTTGCTCCCCCCATTATTTGATATGCTTGCAAAGAATGAGATGGATGATGATATGTCCACGATTTACATTGATGCGCTGGTGGGACAACAGGAGTTGTCTTATAGACTGGAGGGTGCATATAAAGCGGAAATATTGTGCATGAAGCTGTACAAAGAATTAAGGGGATTGTTAAGAAGAAATCTGTTTGGACTGATGAATTTACTAGATGCAGAGGCTAGAGCAGATTTGGACTGTGTTGCAGAGGTTGCTCGACCGCTGGTTAAGACATTAGACGATCTCATAAAAAATGCAATTGAAGTCGACTTTATGCCAAGTGAGTACAAAATGGTGCTTGTAATCGTTTTCATTAGGACCTGGTCTTTCCTTTTGATTTTAAAATCACATGAATTTATTCATTGGATTAATGCTTATTCTGATTTTCAATCTTCTTTTTCAATGTCTTCCTTGTAGGTGCATTTGAACTCCTTAAATGAGGAACGTGAGCTTAAGCCGAGAGAAAGGCTTATGAGTGAGAGTTCTAAGAATGGAGCGCCAAGGACTTCGGTTAAGATTGGGTAGAAGAGTGGTAGGACAACATCAGGCAAGTGATGTGAGACAAAATCATTAGGTCTCGTATTTTATATCTATGTCTTTTTACATACACCATCTCAATTTGTTCATTTCTAAATATATGCTTGTTCTGATAAATTTTTTTTGCGTTATGAAAACATTGATGTTTGTTTCAACGTGGATGTTTTCCTAAAAACTCTTTTATCATTCCTTGTGTTCGGTACTTTGGTTACCTTTTAAAATTATTTTAAAAAATTATGGTAAAAGGTGAGAGACTTCGAGATACAATCGTATACACCCCCGTATCATCCCCCAAGTTGTATATGACTAATACATTGCTTTTAAAACTTTGTCCAAAAAAGTTTAGAATTTTAACCAAACACAAAAGAAATGTGAAAAATGTTTACTTAAAAACCAACAGAGCATTTATGTGTTATCGGTTCTCCTTCTTCCATAGCCCGAGTTCGTAGAAGAAAAGATAGGAGGGCCCTATGGAGAATGTGGTCAATCTCATCACTAAAGTGATGACTGAGACAATAATGCTGAGATGATTGTGGCTGTAGAGTTGTTGCAATGTCCTTTTTGTCATCATCTTGTAAATCTAATTAACTAAAAAAGTCTTAGCATCTAGTAATGATGGTCCCTCGTGTATGTAATCTCAACTACTTGAATTATCTTCCTTAAATTTGTAGTCTAGGATAATAGGGTTGAATCTACCGTGAAGTTATTGTTGCCTTCTTTCTTTAAGTTTTTGCTAATCTAAATTGATAGTTTTATTTTAATGCAATTAGGGTTATTTTAGGTTTTTAGTGAGGAGTGCGATGAAGACTGCAATGAAGACAATACAGAATCACCCATCTTTTCAAATGAAAAGAATTTTTTAAGGTAGCAAATTTGTCTCATTTCATTTCCTTTAATTGTCATTCTCGTGCTTGTCTTCCTTGACCCTGCATAATCTTTCTTTCCTAAAGTCAGTAGGAAAATTCAATAATTTGCTTTGTGATACATTCTCATTGCCAGGAGGATTCGAGACAAACCTTTCTCACCCTACCAAAGGTCTGTAATGGAGGTTTTTTTATTCTTTAGCAGTACTTATATGTATCATTCGACAGTATTGTTTGTTCATACTTTGAATAACAGAAGAGTTGCCGTCGATTTGAGTACGTATGAAATTGTCGGACACTCAAGTGGAAGTGGGTGGGTCCTTTTGGTTTCAAGTTTAAGGGCATTGCTTTATGATGGAATTGGTTAGTTCACTCATTTGCCTGATTTGCCTTGGTATCTGCCTTCGGATGTATGCGGACCTGTTGAGATACTTGGCTGCTTTGTCATGAACATGAATGATGATAATGCAAGTGTGTTAATTATTCGGTTCGCGGCTACCATATAGTATGTGTGTCGCCATACAACAAATTACTTGGAGGAAGATTGGCTCGTTAACGTAGTTTATGAAGGTCATCAGGTTCTGTTTTAGTAATGACGTTTTTGTTGGGTAAACAAACCATGTGGTGGGTTAACTCTTATGTATGGTTGGCAAGATCATTCGACATTTACCTTAAACACTTCTACTAATATAGAAGATCTTAGGCACTTCGAAATGGCACCAGTTAACAGCTAGTCCTTTTTGGAAGAAAATTAGTATCGAATTTATGAAATCTATTCGTGGGAGAATGAGATTGGTGTATTTTTGCTTGCATTGGAAAGAATAGAAGACTGGCACGCTCAAGGATTGAATTACTACAAAACGAGGAGTTTGGAGGGTTTACATATACGGATTGCTGTGGGTGACGATGAAAGAAATAGGATGTTTGTGGCTTCAAAGGATGGAACCACTTGTGTGGAGGTGTCAGTTAATGAATAAATGGTTCAACACGCACACAAGAAATTTATGTCAATCATACTAACAATGACTCGTGTCGTGAGTTGTGGTTTTATTGGGATGTTGGAAGGTTTTTGGGTTTTAACTAGGGGGTTTAATTAGGTATTGGGGTCTTCTATTGTAAACGGTTGTGATGTACCCATGGTTCGCAATATCGAGATATTGTATCGAATTTGAAAAAGAATCACGTATTGTCCCGAATCATAACTATACCAGAAACCGACATGGTTGTTTTCATTCTCTTAAATTGCTCTGATAGTTTGTTACCTTGTTTATTTGTTATAATATTATATATCCGTGTCTGTATATATACCAATAAAGGGCTAATGCACGTGAGTAAAATCACAATGTTATAAATTAACCTCTCAATTAAACACTTTCATGATAATAATTTTCAAGTAGTCACTTACCGAAAGAAAAAAAAAAAAAATTTCAAATAGTTAATCAATAATGAAAAACTTATCAAATCATTGTTTTATATTAATTGTAGTCAGTTCTCCAGCAGTATGCGTATCATTTTACTCTTTACAGTGGAGATGTTGAAACGAAAATGAAATACAAAAAGAGAGAATGATGTTATGGAAAGAATTTGCGGGTGAGGAACACTATAACATACTTTAGGAATACATTCTGCAATCTCTTAAATGGTACATGCAAAGAAAATCAACTGATGAAATTGCTACTACTGTTCATCTTCTGCTAGCTACTTGTATAATTTATCACAGCTGCCGCTAAATTTCCTATTTCAACAGTGTGGTTAATTTACAATTTAATAGTAATATTTTTGCTGGTAAATTGATGAGTTTTTCCTTTGTCATGCACCATGGTAGCAATTTGAACTAATTTGCAGGATGATTTGATGTAATGCCAGTCTCATCAGAGAACATAGAGAATACCTAATAAATTGGGGATGCAAAAAACTCTCTTTTTCCCTATGATAGTGATGTTGCAGATATTTTTGATACAAGTTAAGCTATCACAGAAAGGGAGTATCTGTTACCCAACCTATTCAACTTATTTTTTGATTTGGCAAAAATTCAAAGCAAAAATAATGTTGTTGTGCAATTTATTACAATTATTCTCAAGTTCATTCAAAATATTACAAAAAAAATAAAGTTAGACATACAAAAAAAAAAAAATCTTGCAATCGAATTTATTTGTCATGTTTTACCACTATTAGTACGAAATCTTGGAATTAGAACTTGGTAGCAAACGCATAAATTACGTACAATGTCATATCATGAGTGTACGGAATTAAGTGTAGGTATCACTCAATTTTCGTTGACCTTTTATAACTTGTAGAGGTGCAATAATCAGACAGCCCAAAGGATAGGAGAATTCTAATCCAATTGCACAAGCAAATTATAAAATTACTAAAAGAGAATTTTTTACCATATAAATTGATAAAATGCGACAAAAACGACAACAAATCCGCTGTAGCACATTGGAAATTTCAAGGGCATATGAAATTCCGGGTTCGAACCCCGGCAGCGGAAATATTTTTGCTATACTTTTTCACATTTGGGCCCGTTGTAGAGCTTCTTAACCTTGGTGATACACCCGATGGGCCTTATTATTACTATTTCATTGGGCTTTACTCTTACAACGAGTCTCCTGAAAGCCTAATCATTGTCCTTTTTTATTTTGGAATAAAAAAATGGAAGACTGTATTCACTTAACACTTTAATATAAACGAGAATGTGTGCACATATCTGTATTTCTCCTTCTTCATTATTCATGTGTTGTATCTATGGTTAAAATCATAGAATTTCCAATATTATCTAAAAACAGATAATGGGACAATGCAAAGCGATTGAATAAATCCTCCTCTATCTGTTGTGGGTTTAGGGCTCCTTTTCTTTCCCATTTTTCAAACTCCAATTTGTATTTTTCATTGAGAAATTTCTGATCAATGATAAAACAAGATTCATTTTTTATCGTATTTAAAGAATTCCTTGATTCGTGTCAAAGAAGCAATGAAACTGTCCATGTGTCAACTTTTAAAATCCACTTAATGCATTTTCAATAACTAAAATGGAAATAATTAGTAGCGCACTAAATAGGTAATAATTTATTTAGTAATTCAATTATCAACTTTTTAATGACTCCTTTTGTATTTAAAAAATTATGAAAAATATTTATAAGTAAGAAGGAAAAAATAAAATAAATCAAAAATACTTAGGACTTTTAAGTTAGTGGATAATGTTAGACTCTAATGGAACTCATTCGGGAACGTTAACTTTAATTTGATTTCACTAATTGTTAAATATATGTAACGTTAGACATAAACACGTGAAGGCCTCTTAGTTTTTTAATTTTTTTTTTGCTTTCTGTGTTTTTTACACCCGAAATTATTGCCAAAACTTCTATAGCAAATTTGCAGAATGTAAATTCAGTTGTTTAGCTGAAAAAATGCCCAAATGTTTTTATTTTATTTTTTATTTATGGTAAATTAAATGATAAGATAAAGTTTTAAAACATATTTTTGAAATAATTGTAAAGTACGGAATCATTTGTGGCGTTATATAAAAAGAAACGGTAGTTGGAGGTAACGGAAACCTATCCACACGGCATGGAATATTCTGATAACAACCCCGGAAGATCCAACGCGATGAGAACACGTGGCAACTGGCTAATGAATGGACGGTCGTTACAAGTCTATATTGACTTGAAGTTTGACCAGGAAGATTGCCTAACGGCTTCCTTTTTAAAACGATGTCGTCACTGGACGTGTACTTTATTTGACCACTATAGAAAAAGATCACAATGGCGTCAAACAAACGCCACTTGGTCTACGTGTTACCACTTGGATACAGACAATTTTATTTGTTTTGGTACCACAAGAGTACTACTAGCACCGTCCATGAGGGCTAAAAAAGGAATTACTAGAATTAGTTATACGAGTAATTACTTAACTACAAAGGCTATTGACTAAGTTCAAACGGCAGCTTCCTCCTAAGTTCCAAGGAGGAGTATCCGATAAATATTATATATATATATATATATATATATATATATATATATAAAGTGAAGAAAAAAACATGTTATATAATGTCCATATAAAATTTTAATATTTAAAAATATATGTAAAATGTTCTTAATATCTGTTCATGGTCATTTTTAACCAAAAAAAAAAAAAAAAATTATAAAAATTTCTTAATATCCTTAAAAATTAAATTAGTATTTTTGTTTTTATTTTGTGCATTTTAGTTATTTCAGTTTTTAAATTGGCAATGTTTTTATTTGCTCAATTTGAAGAAAAAAAATTTTAGGATTTTAATTTTAATATGTGTACACATTTTGTATGTAACAGAAGTTTTTTTTTTTTTTTTTATGCTTACGCTATGTATTAAGTATACTAATTTTATAGTATCATGTTTGATGCTATAATCAATTACCAATAATATCATGTCTCGTATTATTATCAATTAAATTTGTAAGTAAAAATACATCTATTATTTGTCCGATTGGTCAATGTCGTTGTCCTTTTGTTAAAAAAAAAAAAAAAAAAAATGTCATTGTCCTTGCTTCATTTGCAAGCTTTGCAATAATATACAATGCACATGGTATTTAAAGACGGAAATGCCCTTCAATATGTGGTGGCTATGAAGGTTGAAAAAGACTAACCTTCCATCCTCTCTCTGATCGGACCACTCATTATCCAGAACTTGCCACCCAAGTATGGACATTTTATTAACAAATCTGGGAGTTAGACTTGCTCCATCTTCACTTCCAATTAACAATCTTATCTTAATTTTAAGGATAAAAAGAGTCCACGTTTGTTTTTTTATTCTGTTACAAGCATTGGTAGCTTTCCTGTTGTCCCAACTACTAAGATTTAATTTTCATTTGCCATTTTATCCGTATGATGAACTAATAAGTAGGATGTGAATTTGGTACTTTGTTGGTTCATTGTATTTTTTGATATGTAACTTTTTTTTAAGTTTGATATGCGATACGTATTGATTAATTTACACTAAATTTGTTCGAGTCCATTATATTGTAATCGTAACTGATACTGCAAACTCTTAGATGATCCTTATTATGTATATAATACTACTTTCTTTTTGTTTATAATAACATTGTGTCATTCACAATCTTGAACTCTTATATGATTTGCAAATTCGTAATACAGAAATAATTACACCACTCACTAATGTCCAATCTCATTTTTACCAAGTCTCAAATCAAACCAAAGACCTAATAAAAAAACTATTGCAAAGAAAAAAGAAAAAAAAAAACTTAAATTAAATTAAATAAAAATCAATAAATCTAGTTAGTTGAATTAGTTGAACAAGTTAACGTTGCTTTGACAATGTTATTACAACTTTTTAGGTACAAAGGATATGGTCCATAAATTAGCTGGAGTAATTATTAGTTGCTAACAGAAGACAAGTGTGAACCAATTGTCTGTTATTCTATTGTTTTTGAAAAACACTTGTTAGTAAGGACAATTTATAATTTCGCTATCTCATGATGCCTGAATGCCAGTTGATTCCAAAAAGATGAATCGACGGATGTCCTGCAAAATATCAATTGTTTTGGATGACTTTGTTCGAATGTGTGATGATTGTTGGGTTGAATTTGTACGATAATTTATGTCACGATTAAGATGGTTATATATAATAATATTATGTGAACACATACGTGGATCACCTAATTGTTAGCTAATTATCTTGACCGTCGGGTTGATGATCAAATAAGAACTTTCCACACAGACTAAGAGTGATAAGTCAGTAAAACATAATTTAATATAAAGATTATCTGTAGCGTTATCGTATTATCTAATATTGATGGACTAGATCATTCTATTGGATGATGGTAACAAATTGCGTTTCACAGAAGATATTCTCATTGAAGTACACCGACGTAAAAAAATATATATATATTATGCCAAGAGAGTGCTTTACCTTGATTTATTCTTTCGCAAATGAAAAGATTGAGTGTTCCAATTTGAGTAGAGATATAATATATAAATTAATGTGTAATGAAATTATTAAAAATAATTTTAAAAAGTTGAATATATATAATAAGTGAGTTAGATTGTAATAGAAAATAATGAAAAAGACACATTTTCATAAGTGGCCTTCTGGATGTCAAATCATATATAGTGTGGGAGTCTGTTACAAATATTTTTATGTTGGGTTTCTGGTTTTGCAAATGAAATAGTTCTTGTTGTTGTTAACGGGTTACGTATATTTATATAGAATTAAGATAAGAACGATGATAATGAAGAAGTAAGAATTATTTGTAACTCTCAAAGATTTATTGAAATATGTCATCTTCATTCCATTGATGAAAATAATACAATGAATCAGGTAGATTTCAAAAATCAAAAAAATTGTTACTATATCCAAAGGCTACACAATACATATACATGCATACATATATCCAGGGCCGGATATTAATTTACATTTTTGATATATATATATATATATATATTTACAAAATTACACGACTGCCCTCATTGAAATTATTAAACAATTACACTATCATCCTCTCTCATACAATATTTTGGCTCCGTCCTGTATATATCCCACACCAATGGCCATTTTAGAAGCATTTAATAATTTGATTATTTCCTTAAATGTTGTTTTATAATTATGATATTGTGTATTCTGTTCAATTTGAATTGAGATAAAACTTTTACAAATACATGAAATTTTTTAGTAAATAAAGGACAGTAGTTTATGCGCATGTATATATTTTGAATATATTACTAATTAAGAAGTAGTTTCTTCCTTAGAAAAGGTATTTATTAAATATTAGGAAATCTTAATAAATTGTGATTTGATTACTTTTTGTAGGATCAGTGCTTCCGATTGGACCATTTTGGGGCTAAGCTTTTCTTGCAACTCTAATTATCTTAGTAACTAATCTTTGACTATTTTTTATGCATGTCTCTTTCGGTTGAAGCCTTTTTCCCATCTTTTATTTGAAAAATCCTTTTTAAATCACTGTAATAAAGACATGCATGTCGGTATGAACTGTGAATTTAATTAAGAGATACTTGTTTAATCATTACAATTACCTTTTTGACCATGAAAGAATAAATTTTTATAATAGTCGGTGTAACTACATCAAACGCCTGATTTAGTGGTAAGAGCTCGGTTTGAAAAAACTGCAGCATTTTCTTAGTTTTCTAATATAATGGTATATTTTCTTTATCTTTTAAAAAAAAAAAAATAAGGGAGAAATTCGAGTATCGACATGAACAAAGTGCACGTGAGTACCAAAGATAAAAAAAAAAACATAATATTTTCTTATAATAAAAACAAAATCAACAAGGTCAAATATGAGAGTAACGACTAAGTTAACAATATGCCAGTAAATTGAGAGTGACATTGGAGCTAGACTTTCTAGTCTAAGGAATCAGCCAACATATATGCGCCCACCTCTAATTTTCCCATTGCTATCATCTTTGTGCAGGCTTCCCCCAATTAAGCTAATCATTTGTTAATGAAATTCTTATAGAATTTTTTGTATTCTGTGGTGACTTAATTTTTATTTCTTAAGAGAAATGAAATGACAAAGTCATTTATAAACAATAGTACTGTTAAATTGTGCGTTCTTTAAAAAGAAACAAAGCAATAATAATCTTTGAGTTGGACATGTAAAAGAACAGAGTCTGGAGTCTCATTACACCCATATCTTGGACTAAAATGGTTGTATTCACAACAGGATTCAAATTTGATAACTAACACGGAGAAAAGTCATATATGTAAATGAGGGAATTATATCTGTCACGTCATTTTTTTTAATAAAATAATCATAATTGATGTCTTGGAATTTTTCTTTATCATGGTTGAATTACAACTTTTCATTTTTCTAAGTTTAGGCAGTTGATTCAATTTAACCATTAGGATCTAGGTGAACGGCATTAAGGTAGAAAGTACGACACTTTTACCAACGAATTGTAGTCTCGTGTTCGTGTCGGACACATGTTTGATAATTAAAATATGTATTCATAAATAAAAATTATATTTTATTATTTTGGATACATTTTGTCAAAAAATTTCAAATACTTTTCGACATTTCTAACACAAGTTTACCCCATAATCTTAAAAATAATATAAACACGTTATAAAGTATGTAACTTTTTTCTTTAAAAAAAATATTGGCATTATATATATAATCAAAAGTAAAGCATACAATGATACTTAGTTCAGTTAAAACAAAAGCACTATTATGATAAAATGCTGAAATATTAAAAATCACTACAATAATGACATAATTTTTTTTAAAAAAATTATTTAAAAACAATTCTTAGTATATAAATTATAAATTAATTAAAGTTTTCTAATACTGTTACTCAATAACTCAATATATATATATATATATATATATATATATATATATAATCCAGTGGATTAGTACCTGACTTTAACTCTATATATTTACTAATCTAACTACACGTTCACGTCATACTCATGTTATATTTTTTATATATATAATTTAACATATCAACATATCCATATTGATGTCGAATGGTATTTGTGTCCATCCTTCGTAAGTATTATGTTATCAATTCACCTTTTATAAATATTCTTGCACTCCATTTACTTTATTTTTATTATATATATATATATCTTTTCAAATACTCTTGCACTAAAAATTTATTTTAAAAGATACTGTTAGGCGTCACTTTTTAGGATAGTCATACAATTTTTTTATTAAAAAATCAACCGGAGTGCAAGAATTTGAGTGGATATTGCATTCTAGGAAGAAATCATGGTCGGTAAAAACTTAGAATGAAGGTGTTGTTATCGAATTTGTGCATTCATCTTGAATAAAAAAAATAAAAAAAACACTCAATATTATGAATGTTTACGTATTTGTTTGAACTTTTGTAAATAAAAAATAAAACAAAATATTATGATAAAATTCTTGTAATATATTCGGTACACTATGTTTATTTTTTATATATATATTTTTTTAGGGCAAGAATGTTAAGATTAGTTGTTAGACAAAAAGGCAAAAAAAAAAAAGTAAATTACACTTACCTCCCTTAAGATTTGGTAAAATCTCACCTGCATTTGAGGTATATTATTCTAACCTCCCTTAAGATTTAAAAAGTTAATTATACCTTTATATATAATATATTTTTATAATACAAAATATATTCTAAAATCTAAAAAAATCAATTATTCTATCTCATCTCTTTTGTTACTTTCTCTCTCCTCTCTAACACAGTTATCCTCTCCTAAAAAAAAATCTTGTAAATAAATGTAAAAATGAGTATAAGAGTAACAAGAAATGTTGTTGAGTATACACCCAAACCTCAACTTCAGGGGAGATTGTTGAGCATATATCCATTTATGAATTTTTTTTACAAGTTTTGATGTAAAAGGGAGGTTATTGAGCGTATATTCAAATCTCAAGAGAAATTAAAGTAATAATTCTTAAACACCGTGTGAGATTTATTCAAATTTCAGAAAAGGTAAGTATAATTTACCCAAAAAGAAATTATGGAAGGGTCGACCACTGGCTGTCCACGAGATAAACTGGGCAACACGGCACTTGCGTTTAGTCTTTCTTAATATGATGAAAAAGAGTACAGCTGCATTTAATCTCAATCCACAAACCGCGTCCTGCTTGTCTGCTACCCTACCACTGGGTCCCACTCCCACCTATATATATATGGAAAATAATACCATGCGACTCACTTCACTTCCCCACATCCACTCCACAAATTCCACACAATTTCTCCACCGGGAATATTCCCCGGCAAAGTAAGATTCCGATCGAAACCAACCTGAAAAAGAATGGCGTCTTCGAGCAGTAATACTTGGATTTTCTCCCTTAAAGTTGTGTTGATTTCAGCTGGTATTGTGTCCATAGCTATGGCTACTAAATTCTCCGCTCCGTTGATCATCAATTTCGCAGTCTATGAAGTCCCTCTTATATGGTCAACTCTCCTTTCCTGGCTCAAACCTCCTTATCTCTACCTCATCATCAACGGCATCATCATCACCATCGCCGCCTCCTCACGTCTCTACCAAAAGCTGGATCACCGCACTCACTCGGAGCCACCGTTGGTTTCGCCGAAGCCTCTATCTTCAGATCTACGATCAGATTTCGCCGCCGTGTCGACTCAGTCTGAGTTTCGCGTTCTCAAATCTACGGTAGTGTATGAGGATGAAGCAAGGGTTCCGGAGGTGAATCGGGAGTTGCTGAACGGTTTGGAGGTTGGAGATCAAGATGAAGATAAGTTTGTGATCTCGACTCAGTATATGGAATCTCCGGCGATGTATGAGGATGAAGCTAATTTTCCGGAGGTGAATGATCATGAGGTCAGGAACGGTTCGGAGGTTGATGATATTCAAGATGAAGATGAGTTTGTGATCTCGACTTCATCGTGGACGCCGCTTCAGAGGATGAGTTCGTTGGAGATGCAGACGGAGTATATTTTACCGGCAACAGAGAAGCCTCCGATTTCTTCGAGGTTCGGTCACCGGAAACCTGTAAAAGCCAGTCCTGAAGGTATGTCGATCTATAAAGTGTGCATAAGTCTAAGTTAACCTCATCATCATAAACGAAATTTCTTATACTACTTCGGAGTAGAAGGGCAAAATAGTAATTTGATAATCTGTGGTCATTTTCAGGTGGAAAAGCACTGAAAGTGGCGAAGCCAAAGCGGCACGAAACGTTGGAGAACACATGGAAGATGATAACGGACGGCCGTCACATGCCACTCACGAGGCACCTGAAGAGGTCCGAGGCGTGGGAGAACCGTGACCGTCAGTTCAATGCTGGCCCACATGATTCGTCCCCTGACAAATCAGAGACGTCCAATGTCGACCATGCTAACTCTGACCCACCTTCATCATCAGGCAAGCTTCGAAAAGAGCCGTCCCTGAGTCAGGAAGAGTTAAACCGCCGAGTTGAAGCGTTCATAAACAAGTTCAATGACGACATCAGGTTGCAGAGACAAGAGTCGTTAAAACGGTATAGGGAGATGATTAATCGTGGGGCCCATTAATTCACAGCTCCATGTACAGGTGGAACCGTTGAACTAAAAAAAAGAGTTCTTAACTTTATATATAAAAATATAATACTTTACTGTATGAAATGACTTCTTATTTTTCCCTTTTAGGTTAAAGGTCGGGTATAGAAAATCAAAAAGAAAAAGTTCGAATTTGAATCTGGTTTGATACTTCCTTTTTTCTTTCTTCTTTCTTTTTTTTTTTTGGGTCAATTCCAATTTCAATAGTAGATACATGAAACTTGGTAGAATTATAGGAAAGTTTGTATTGTATTTGGTTTGTTCTTTTACTAGTTTCAAATTTTTGTATACAATTATAGGAAGGTTTATAAAATATTGTATTTGGTTTGTTCATTCACTCGTTTTATGCTTGTAGTTTGTGATATATATGAATTGACTATCACCAAAGTTTTAGTTCTTTTTATATGGAATTCTTATACTCAAAACTTTAGAGCTAAAATGCTTAAATAGTTTTCTGCACATGTTCTAATAATTGTGCCATTCCTATTTGATTTTGTGGAGTTGGAATCAGTGCAAATAGTCTAGTCCATGGAGTTCACATGTCTAAATTTCTCCATGTCATCAAACTTCCTGAGGAAAAAAGAGAAGTAGATTCTCGTATAACAGGAATATTATTTCATGTTGAGTTTGTTTAATCAAGACCTGAGGAACAGCTTACGTACCAAAATCTGGTTGAATTAATGAATAGCACCAGTAGAGTTATGCTTTGTCCATGTTCCATGAATTGCATTACTTCTCTTGTTTACTAGCATGAAATCAGTTATGATTGGTGATGGAAGAGAGATTAAAAACAAAGTTTAAGGTCAAAATAATAAGTGACAGGTCCTAACAAAATGACTAAAGAAAACTGTATATGTTATGTAGTGAATTGTACAAACATTTGTTGAAAGCCCTCAAACCAACATCCTATAAGCCTCGTCTTTGCCTTTTTATTCTCTCAAGGGCGCTGAAAGGGCCATCACCATCTTTATCCTTGGCATCAGCGGAATCATCTCCCTCCCCATCCTTCTCAGTCTCTTCCCTATTCCGGACCAAGCCACCAAAAGCTGCATCAGGGACATCTTTTTTGTGCAATCTCAACCCTTTCATCATCTTCCGAGTCGCATTCCTCTGGCAACTCAATATCCTCATGATTTGTCGTCAGATTCCACTCCAGCACTCACAAAGCCAACTTTCCTGCCACCATCTCCAGTAGTTGGCTTAGTGTTATTGGCTGAAGGCACCAAATGCCGCTCTAGATCTTCGGGAACCCCAGTCATTTTCAATGTGTCCATCGCTTCGTCAACATTTTGCTTGCCATCCTGTTGCATCAAATGCTCGGAAAGAATGAAGTGTCTGGAAGAAGGAGAATTAACGGTCACTTATCAGTGGAAGGTTACTATGGCCCATTCCAATGGAGACGTGATATGCAAACAAGGATGCAATCAAAAAGCGACACGTGCATTCAAATGAGAAAACCATCTGGTAAAAGTGATCGCCTTAGGATACGTGGCAGCCAAGGAAGCAAACAATTCCAGTAGTTGCAAAGTCGTGGGACACTTGGCAACCAAAGAGGTAAGTAGTTATCTGCAGGAGGAAAGTCATAGAACACATGGCAAACAAAGAGGTAGGAACTACCTATAGTTAAAAGTTGTATCTGCTATGTGGGACACGTTGCAGATTTCCAGTGGAAGGTTGTAACACAACTCAAACATCACTTTAATTTTCATTCAATTCCAATCAGATTTACATTCCAACAATCTACTTTTATGATGTTTAATTTAAGTCCTGAACTTTCAATACTTTATTTTCAGCAATTGTTCTTCAATTCCTTTACTTTTAGTCCTCCACTTCAATTCTCTTTACTCTTCATTTATCAAAGGCAAAAAGAACCTCATTGGTGGTCATTCCAAACCTCATCCATTCCATTTCTATCTGGAATATAGTTTGGACGACTCTCACTTGGAACTTTTGTGGTTCATGACACGCTAACTAGTTCCGTTGGAACTAAAAATTTTATAGCCCAAACAATATTCATTTCTAATTGTATATTTTCTTATATGGTCGCACATCTATCTCAACATTCGTGTTTCCATTACACTCACTTTATGCACATGTTGACTCTTAACTACCCAACATTCTATCCAAAAAACATTCCATGGTCTAATAGTTACTTTATGATAAATTTGTGATGACATTTTTTTTTTTTTTTTTTAATGTCAATTGTCTATTTTAATAAGGGTAATATGGTCTTTTGTTGTGAGCATGACATAAATAGTATTTGATTATTTAAGAAAGGGCATAGTAGTCTTTTACCATGCAAATGGCATGATTGGAATTGAGAAGAAGTGGATGGGCTTTCTAGTCATTTTACAAGATTTTGCCTTTCACTAATTGTGAGTTTGACATGTGGGTGTAGGTGGCTGCACCTTATGCACATTTGTTATGACCGACTAATGATTCATCTGAAAAAAGAGATGCAGAGGAAAACTTTCGGTAGAAATAAATTTCGGACCTTTGTTCCTTCTACTTAGTCATCTTCCTTACATGATAAATTGAAGCCTTTGTACTGATAATTTGATGTTGTTGTTAACATGAAAAATGTTCTTAAGCTTGAGAGCTTTCTTTTGGTGTGAGGGTTGTATGTAACTTTCAAATTCTGAATTATCAAAAGAAGTTTTGAAAGAAGAAGTGTGGGTATATTTTAAAAATGGAGGTGTTCTTCATTTTGTACAAATTTTGGAGGCTTTGATTCTTCAATTGTGGAGGTTTTTGCTGTTGTTGTTGCATAGTTTCTTCTATTTTGAGGTAGGATTGTTTAATTCTCACAACTTTTACCTTTGGTGAATTATATCTCTTTAATTGAATGTTATTTGTTTGAAAATAACTAAATAAATAAATTTGAATTGAGAATCATTTTCCTGAATAGGTGACTATGTGATAATTATTGTGTTAGTAAGCATGCTAGAATTTTAAAAGAATTTAATTGATAATGTTTATTGTATATGGACATAGATCAAATTATTGATTTTAATATGCTATACATTATATCATTATGAATATACATTTGTCTCGCATGATTTGGGGATGAGTCTGGAATGGAAAGGAAAGTGGAAACATCTCATATGATTTGTGTTGAGAAAAAAGTTAAAAAGAGTAATATGGAATGTTGGATAGCGGGAATTACCTCGTATCCAGGTTGTTAATGGATATAGAGAAGACGTAGAGACATCCTCTGCGTGTGGTTGAGTCACTTGTCCCAAATGGCGCCAGAGATTACTCTAGGTAAGGAACAGATGATCAGTCTTCTTCTCATGGAGCCGGGGATTACCCCGAGCCAGATACATTAACCATTGGGATGAGTGGTTGGTTATTGTCTCAGGAAAGTGGGAAGTGGCTTTGGCATTGGCATTAACATTGCATTATACTTCATTTTATTATCTCACATGATATATTATTCCCGAACATGTATGATCTCGTTATCGTATATTTGTTCTATGTTTGGATTCATGGAGGCATTAAGGAGTGCGCTTTAGGCAATTCCCGCTGAACTATGGTTGCTCATTCCTATTTTATACACATCTTTTCAGGTCATGGCATGGACAGTGTGGAGGATGTTCCTCCTCAGCTGTACACAAAGTTGGGGCTGGTGTTGTGTGTTTTTATTTTGTATAACAGACAATGTATAATAGTGAAACAATGTGTTGTATAAAGTTAGTTCAGTACATCCCTATTGTGTAATAACCTTTATTACAAACTCTGAGACTTTACAGTTGTAAATGATGTATCTTATTTGTACACTTTCTTCTATGGAATTGTATTAGAAAAAAAACAAGTGGATGATGTGTATGAGAGACAGGTTACAGGGATGTTAGTATTAGAGATTGTGGTTATTTGTGTGGTGTTCACAATTCAGGACTTAAGTCTTGGGCTGTGACAAATTATTAGATGGACCTAGACCATAAGTTACTTGGTGGTCCAATCCAATCAGAACTCATGTTCAAGTTTCTTTATAATATCTTATTAATGTTTTTGGGTCCATTTTTCTTAGTTGGGTAAGCTTTAATTAGATTCAACCACATAATTCAGGACCATTTAATAATTTCTCATATTTTTATATGTTTTCTTTCAATCTTAGCAGGTTACGTTGATCACACAATATGTTTTAATGCACTCCTTCATTTAACTCATCCTACTTTGAATCTATGATACACATCATCTTCAGTTTCTCCTTCATTATGATTAATTAAGCCTAAATAAATACTCAAATTTTGTTTCTCTTGATCCTCAATTTTCACTATATCTCTATTTTTTTAATTTGTTTATAAGCATCTTCATTCACTGATTTTGCACTCCATATATGCAGTTTTATTCCTATTTCTAGAGTATTGTAATACCCTTAAAATTAAAAAGGATAAAATTGGAATTTAAATTTCATTCTATGTGCATTTTTGTCTATTGATTTTGTAATTGTTGTATTTTTGTTTGTTTTATTTTAAATTGTATTTTAAATGCCTTATTTGGTTAATTATTTAATTGTCTTATTTTCTTTATTTGAATTATGGTTTGTTTAGTTATCTGAGTTATTGTATTGTTTGTTTTATTTTAAATTGTATTTTAAATGCCTAATTTGGTTAATTATTTAATTGTCTTTAATACGTGCTTAAGTAGAAGTTGAATTAACAGTTTTTAGTTAGGGTTTCTTGGAGCCGTCATACAAGTATTTAACGTGTATGTGACTTAAGTTTATGGGCCGACTCTAGTTTAATTAGGGTTCTGCCTTAGCTCTAGTTTAATTAGGGTTTTCTAAAGGCCTATATATATACGTGTATGAGTTTCACTAAGGGTTTTGGAAGAACCCTATTCACGGCACAGTAAAAATAGAACGTAACATAGAGAAAGTTGAGAGAATAGAGGCAATGGTAAGAGCTACCAAGGACAATAACAGAGAGGGTCAAAGGAGGGTTGTGGTGGATTAGATCACACCCATAGGAGGCTTGAAGGAAGTTAGTAGTTGCCGGAAACTTAGAGACGACGCAGGGATTTCATAACTGAAATCACAGGCAAGTTCTTCTCTTTCTCCTTCCCTTTGACTTGTGTTCTGTGCACCTAGATAGTCTCTAGGGTTTAATTGAACATCAATTGGAAATTATATGTTTAGTACATGTTATATCAATGATCTGTAGGTGTTGATATCAATTCTGTAAACCAAAATTTATGCATGCTTTCGTTTCAGCATTCTGTTCTTAAAGTATGTTAAGTTAGTTGCAATTTTAGCCTCTGTAATTGTTTCCAACTACTGTAGATAGGCCATTGGAATGATACTAGGTATTTATAAGACTAGTAAGTTCAGT